ATATCGGAGATTTTTGTGAGGATGGAGTAATTTCAAATTGAGATTTAATTTTAATTATTGCAATACAAGGCATAGAGCCTTGTATTGCATTCTAAATATATTGTATATATTGTATTTTGTATGTCAACTGGGAAATATGTGGTATTTTTAAGGTAAATAAAAAGGCTTACTCTCTAAAACGCTTTTCATGGCAAATAGAAAGAAAGTATCTTAGATGAGCAAAATTACTTAAAATGGTTGAAGATTTTTTCGTATCGATAGCATGTCAAATCAAATAAATCGTCCCCAGTCCCTAGATAGGACCAATAATATTATTTAAGTTCATGGGAGTGCTCGAAAAAAACAACTGAACGGTAAAATATTATTTGAAAATTCTAATATTTTTTTCAAACTCGATGACAAATTTCAGCGTCAGCTAACAGGAGAGATTGGAATGATTAATTTATTATTTACAAATTTATCTTAGAAATGAAAGACCGTAATGAAATATTGGAAGAAATCAACATGCAAGACAATTTAAGAGCTAATAAGGAATTCCGCTAAATTTACGATCGACGACGTTGGACACATTACTTGTTGTTTACCGCCCGGCAACCCAATGTTTCGAATCGTTGCAATACTTGTTGCGGGAAATAACATTTTCATCCGCACTAAAATCTGCTTTTATCCATTAACGTCGAGGAGGAAAATAAATAATGTTGCTGGCCCAACAGCCGTCCGAAAATGCGCCTGGAATGCGTTCAACAATATCTATACAAGTGATTCCCAAAGTGGGCGATATCGCCCTCCTGAGGGCGGTGGAAGGATCTGGAGGAGCGGTGAGGAAGAAAGGGGCAGTAGGGGGGCGGCAGTCCGCGAAGTCGAAGTCAGAAGTTTATACGTTTGTTTGACGATTTGTACACAACACGTGCAGAACATGAATCCGAATCGAATACATTTTCACGAGCTAAAAGTCACCTTTTGGTAGTTGGAAATTTATTTTCAAAATTTCGTTCGAATCTGTTCAGTAGTTTGGAAGAAATTCTTTTATCACTGCGAATTTCGGCCCGTATCGCCATATAACTCCGAATGAAGGTGAAACTTAAAATTTTTTTCACGAGCTAAAGATCACCGTTAGGTCCTAATAAATACGTGTTCCAAGTTTTATCAAGCTGCGTTCATTAGTTTGGGAGATATTCTTTGGTTACTGCGAGACCGGCCACGACGTGGTCACGAGTCTGGCCCTAAATTTTTCTGAGCCGTCTTGAATTAGTAGTGCTGAAACAGTTGAAACTGTAAAAAATATATTGGTTTACTAAATGGGGTTTTATTTGTGAAATACACATTTGTGTTTAACATTTCTCTTTTAAAATTGCAGCGTTTTAAATATCAAGAAACAGGCGTTTGTTTTTATATGTGTCTGTCGGGAGGTGGGCGTTAGGGATTCACTGGGGAGCCAAAGGGGGCGCCAGCCTGAAAAAGTTTGGGAACCACATATTCTAGTCATCTATACAATCAATCATTGTTACCTTATAAATGATCGTAAATCTTAGAGAGCTTAGCCCCCTCTCCCCCAGTCCTTAAAACCTGGGCCCTCACCCTGCCTATACGAAGAGCTAGAAGGTAGGTAGACATATTCCGGTAGCATTTCAAGTTGTTTCTTCCATGTCGAGGCTGGAAAACTGAGTTATTCACGAATAAGAGGATTGACAACTACTGGAACTAAAGCAGACCAAATTCAAATTGATCAAGCCTCTCGAGTCTCGAACGACTCGAGCCATTCATCATTAACAACATCATCTATATCGCACATAGAACAAATGTTTCACAATATGTGAAACGGAATCAAATATTATGTATCGGAATAGTTCTCGAAAAAGGATATAATGGAGATTGAACAGTTGCAAATTCCTCATTACTCATTGCAAGCCCTTCAAAGATACGCCTGCTTCCTCCCATCAACACGAAACCCCAAGCCCCAACCGAAAATCTTATTGTGAATCTAGGGTCTATTTTCGTCTGCTTCGGTCATTCTTTTCCTCCTTTCTCAATCAGGCCCCTCTGTTTCACTTTATTTCTCTCCCGTCATCCCAAGTGACCCATACAAACAAACACCGACAGTTGGCCTGCCGCACTGTGCGTTACAGGTAAACTTAGAACGATTATAGTAATTAATTTTGGCCAGTAATGAAGTTTAGCTAATTACCATTTTACGACACATTCGCCTCTTCATACCAAACGAAGCCACTTCACATTGAGTTACAATAAAAAAATTTTATTTCTTTGTTAGCTTGGAACCTATGTCGCGATTTTTAGCAATCGGACTTCCGACAAAGCCATAGCTTTTTACTATTAAACTAAAACTCCGTAGCAGCTGTCACAGGATAACCTATATTTTTATGTTAACCCCGCAGTACACTTGAGACTGGTGTTCCATGCGCATCTCTTCGCGCCTCGAGTACTGATGATCTCCTCGTACTGAGCTTAACCCCATGGCTCAGATCCAATAAAATGAATCAGTTAATTGCATTAAGCATGTTCTCTCTGAATTAAACCATTAACGACCAAATTTTTTAAAGCACGTAAAAATATGTTTCTGATAATTTCTAGTGATTACGGTCACTAAGTAGTGTATAGATGAGTATAGGAAAATTGAAAATTGTGTATTGAAAAAAAAATGTGCAAGGCGACATTTCAGTCCACTTGGTCTTACGAGACCCTAACATTAAACGAGACCATATGATCCATTTAAACTTTTGAGCACAAAATATTGATGATATTTATAGCTGGCATAGTTAATTATCATTTTATACATTACTTCAGCTAGCAACAGTAAGGAGTCCGAGAAAATTTGCAAGAAACTCCAATAGTTTAGCAAAAATACCATATTAGATATTAAATTTCTCAAAGAAATTTCGTATTTTCCCAACATCCTTGATGTTGGGAAAACATCAAGGATGTTGGGCCAAAGACGCCAGGGCCAAGGTTGTTAGGCCAATGTTCTAGCGGAGAGGCCAGGGTCGGGCTGAGAGGCCAGGGTTAAGGCTGAGGGGCCCGATTCAAAGTTGAGAGGCCAGGGTCCAGGCTGACAGACCGGGGTCTATTTTGATAAGCTAGGAATCAAGAGGCCAGGGTCGAGGCTAAGAGAACAAAGTACAGGTTGAGAGGCCTGCATTAAGGCTGAGAGGCCCAAGTCCAGGTTGAGAGGCCAGGACCGAGATTGAGAGGCCAGGGTCGAGATTGAAAGGTCAGGGTCGAGATTGAGCGGCTAGGGTCCAGGTTGAGAGGCCAGGGCTAAGGCTGAGAGGCCCGAGTCCAGGTTGAGAGGCCAGGGTCCATTTTAATAGGCTAGGGCAGAAGCTATGAGATCAAAGTACAGGTTGAGAGGCCAGGGCCGAGATTGAAAGGTCAGGGTCGAGATTGAGAGGCCAAGGTCGAAATTGAGAGGCCAGTGTTGAGGCTGAGAGGCCCGAGTCCAGGTTGAGAGGCCAGGGTCCTGGCTGACATGGTGGGGTCCATTAGACAGGCTAGGGTGAAAGCTGAGAGACCAAAAACCAGGTTGAGAAGCAAAGGTCCAAGTTAAGAGGCCAGGGTCGAGATTGAGAGGCTAGGGTCCAGGTTGAGAGGTCAGGGTCCAGGTTGAGAGGCCAGGGTTGAGGTTGATGGGCCAGGGTCCATGTTGTGGGGCCAGGGTCCATGATGAGGGGCCGGGGTCCATTTGACAGGCTAGGGTGAAGTCTGAGAGACCAAAAACCAGGTTGAGAGGTTAGGGTCCAGACTGACAGGCCAGGGTCCAGACTGGGAGGCCAGGGTCCAGGTTGAAAGGTCAGGGTGGAGATTCTTCTGACCAAATGTATCATGATAATAACAGAAGAAAACTGTGCAGTAAACATTCAACATTAAGATTTATTTATAATGTGTGGTGTATATTATATTGATGACTGCCAGAGGCAGTCATCAAATGGACGTATGTACCGCGATCAAATGGAAGTATTACAGGAAATTTAATTAATTATATTTAATTGGTGTATATTATATTTTATCCCGTCTTCCATTATATCACAAGTTTATATTGGAAATAATAAATTGTGTGGTGTCTTTATAATTTTTAATGTGAGGTAATTCAAGTAAACATTCAACATTGTGCAGTAAACATTAAGAGGCGAGGGTGGAGATTGAGAGGCCAGGGTCCAGGTTGAGGTCAGAATCTAGGTTGAGAGGCCAGGTTCCCACCTTCCATTCTGTTAATTTCAATCAAGATTAGATTCATTTTCTTCTTCAAATTTGCTTTCAGAACTGGTTTCAGGCGTATTGGTGAAACCAAGGATATTTCCAGTGGACCAATGGCTTCAGTTCTCTCACTCGCAAAATGAACCGATCGTAATTGCGCCCTCATAACCGAATTCAGAGGCTAAAATAGAACGACACCTGAGATCTATGTACTTCCATTCAGACTACTCTTGAGGACCTCGTGCAGTGACCGACTATCGATCAAAGTCATTGTACGGGGCACGTACCGAGGATGCTATTCAACTCATAGAACTGCAGCCAATCTGTAAAACACGAAGGACCCTGGAATTTTTGCCTCACTTTGCTTCGGTGAGATTCGCGTGATGATCACTGGACGGATCAGACTAACACTCGAGGTCAACAACCGAACCATGCTCCTGTCTAATAGCATATGCACCATTTCATTATAAAGGAGTGAATAGAAAATTCATATGGACCAGTCAAAAAGCATTTGAGAACCTTTCATTCAACGTCAAGCATTCGGGCTCTAGACACCGTATGCAGAACTAAGTTTCGTCAAATATTAGGCCCATCAACTACTGCATTCAGAGAAACTAGATTGTCGTAATCGCGATGCACTCTGACGATCGCTAGGAGTTCATCACTACATGGTCAATATACCCCCACTTCTTTCTCTTGCGTGGGGGCAAGTACTCTGTAACGCAGTGCGCCGTCACTGCCAGCTGCACGTTGTTCCATGCGTTTGAAGGTAGACGCAATCAAACGAGCTCGGGTTTCACATATCGCAAATTTTATTATTTTATATGTATACGTAATAAACCATAACTCTGATAAAATACAAGGATAAATTTTATTGAGGTAGACGACACTATATAAAATATATCTTTCTGCAACATAATAAATCCGAGGTAAATCCTGGTTTTTTTAGTTAACCATCCTTCTTTTTGGGCGAAGGTTCCTTCTTTGTGGGAGAAGCTTCCTGCTTTGTGGGAGAAGCTTCCTGCTTTGTGGGAGAAGCTTCCTGCTTTTTGGGAGAAGCTTCCTGCTTTTTGGGAGAAGCTTCCTGCTTTTTGGGAGAAGCTTCTTTCTTTACGGGCGAAACTTCCATTTTCGGAAAATATCTTGCTACAAGGTCGGGATGAGTGAAGTTCTTCACTATGTAATCGTCCAAAATTTTTTCTTGCTCCGGAGTGAGTTTTCCTTTCCACGCGCCCGCTTCTCCTGCACATGCACAAGAAAATTTGTTTCATCGAAGCAAGTTTCAATTGGTTCCATACGTGGTGAAGACCAATTTCAAGAATGCGATACTAGACCGGGTCCACTTCAAGTGTCGACGAATCACACAGGGTAATTTCATAGCATCCACACCTCTAATAGCTGCTATTCGATACCAAAATTTGCGGCAACCCTGAAAATGTAAACCCGAAGACCAACTGCGCACCAACATCATTGACGCTGTGTCGCAACACAGCAGGTCGGGTCACGCATCTACCCAAGCTAAAGAATAGTTAGGACATTAAATGAGACTGCGGCGCCCGGTAACTATATGCACGAGAGTATAAAGTTCTCAAGCAATTATTGCAGTGCTCCATGAAGCGTTATAACGGCGATTTTATGGGACACGCTTTCCCTAACGAGGCGATCTTCAATATATAAAGACAATTTGAAACTATCCAATACTAAACTCCCACTCTCTGGGAATTTTAAACTCTCAAACGTTTAGCGTAGCAATGATTCAATGTAAGAATGCATAGGCTCATAGTATTAGTTAGAAAAAATCTCCCAAGACGTGATATTAATAAGTGATTTACGATAGGTTGTCGGCACGTGAAATATGTCGATATCACGCTGCTCATAATGTTGAAACCGTTGATTTCAAACAACGTTCAATTTATTCTGCGACTTGGGGAACGCTTTCTCGCGAAATTTCTGGTAACTAATGCAACACGTAAAAAATTACGACATATTGCAAAATGGAGATATCCCTTACAGGAGCCATTACGGCAAGCTGCAGCCTTACCTTGCCGTATGAAAGGACCATCTCTCTCGGCAACCTCTTGGTCTGCGATTTTGCAGGACATCATTTTGTATGGGTCAGCCTCCTGCATTTTCTTGAACGCTGTCTGTTTCTGCACCTGTAGGGGTAAATAGGCTCATTTCAGAGCGCTGACAGTAAAAATATAGTTGAGCGGAGTTCAAAATTTAACAATAGGTTTAAACTTTAAGGCACGATTAGAAACGTTAATTTAGTCGTGTCAAATTTGCAGAGACTGTCACAAAAAATCATAACCTGTCAGCTCGGTGGTCAGAAAGTACAGTTTAGCAAGCAGAAATTAAAGAATCAACCAATAGGGTCGTCAGGTTACAGTTTGAATGAAATTACATCACAAATATTTAATGTTACTCTATAGAAGAATGCAGCATCAACAAGTTGGGACGCTAAACCCCGATTTTATTTGTCTTAAAATTAGTCTGACGTCTTGTCGCTTAACCCTTTGTGGTTTTAGACTAGTCTTACATTTTTCAGCTGCTGGCTGTCAAGGTTCAATTCTAGAAACTTGTTGAGTTTGTGCAGCTCCCCATCAATATCTTTCTTCATATCTTCGTAAAACATAATATGAAGGTTATGGTGGTCCTTGTATTCGAAAGCTTCCTTAAGCAGGTTGGCTTGAGACCCCCATATCACTGAAAAGAAAAGATCCAACGCAGTCTATTAAGAACGAGGAAAAGGGTAGCCAAGACTTTAAATGCAGGAATATTTCTTCAATTCAAGCGCTTCAAAACCATCGGTACCCACACAATCCCTTGACGAAGTAATTGATGAAGGTATCCTGAGTACCATTGAACTTGTGGTTAGCGAGCAGCTTGCAATGGTGCTGGTAGGACAGTACCACGTCCTTGGGGTGACGCACGCACAAGATCACCTGAAGAGACACCAAGCACAGGTCATCTCGAGGGGAACCACGCGAGGGCATCAAAGAATTTCTCTAGAGCTAACAAGCCGACAATAAGCTCCAGTGTACTCTTCAATTTAAATCTAATGTCGCGGTTCACATTTTCTCCAAATGGACAGGCTACCCAACTTTCATTTTTTTTACTAATAACCCAAAAATCTCCTTGTTAACAGAATGTTCATGAGACTTGAGTAATCCCACAATCGCTCCTCCGTTCAAGTTGGTGCAATGCGTATGGAATTCCACAAGACCAACGTCAAACTGGATGAGTTTTATACGCAATGACAATGCCGAATTGATTCAAGACATTAGGATTAGCTTTTTCTGGCACGAGAAGCTTTACTATTATTTGTTATCGCCGTTTTAAACCTTCATCACTGAAAAAAGACAACTTATTGAACGAGTTTCTAAGAATAATTCTCAAACTAGCAACTCATTACCAGCAGAATTCAAGATGCGAGTAACCAGGTGGACTGTTTAAATTTAAGTAAACACCGAGACAACTAAGACCCCTGAAAGTAGAGGAGTAATTGACATGCCTTGCACTTTTCGATCAGTCCCTTGCGGTAGCAGGAGAAGGGCAGGTGCGTCTTGAGGATTCTTCTGTCTTCGTAAGAATCTGCCATCTGGACGCAAGCGAGGACATTTAATTAGGCGACAGGCAAATATTTGATCGCAATTAATCTCGGCAAAATTTTAGTTTTCGACATTTCAGGCCGAGAGCAGCGTTCCTAATCGCAGTTACTTCAAAGATCAAAATATTTGTCAATTCATTTGAACAAGGAAAAAGCAGTCATCTGTGTAGCACATGTCTAGCATTTTCCTGTCCAGGTTACTCAACAATCGTGTACATTTTCCTCAAAGCGTAAGCAGCGACCATCAACAGATCATCGTCATGTCACTACCTGAAGGTGGATCCCCCGATTCGAGTCTAGTTTGGGGCAGCGTCGCCTGAAGTGGCTGAACATAGGGCCGTCAACGAAGTGATCCACACCCTTCTCTTTCAGCTCCAGGATTATGGACATGTCAGACCTGCCGGACTTCCAAAAATGAAAGGCAAATTTCCGAGCGTTCTTGCAGCAATGAAATGGGAACCTGTGCTTTTTTATGCATGAGCGGAGAGGCGGGTGTAAGTGACTAGTGCTAAACCAGATCAAGGGGGCTTTTTCAATAATAAATTTGTCTAAATATTGCGTCTAAAAGTGGTCACTGAGTGGCGGGGCGAATTCTAGTCGAATTTATCCACGTTCTTTCAAGTAGTACTATTGGTAATCGCGTTAAATGTGTTGCAGAGCGATGACGTCTTCATATCCATAGTCGGGGTAACTTCCGAAATTTATATTAAACCAATTTAAAACTTTCATGCACCAAATACGCATGGCAATGGAACGTATAAATAAATGCCTTTATCGTTTAGCGTTTGACACGAGTAACCGGAGCAACGTTGTCATGCAAGCCTACCCAAAAAGGTTCCGTTACTAGTGAGCGCAAGATGACGAATGAGATTTGCCGCCACGTACTACAACTTTAAAATATTTTCTGTTGCTTACACACGTCGTTAGGCTGATGTACTAAAGGGTTTACGTATAATACAAGTTGAAAGTTAGGTTCCCGAAAAGTGACCTACGGCGGTGGAGGGCTAAGGTACAGCGAAAACAAGCTTACCTCTATCTGCAATTACAGCCAGGTTTGCGTTATACTCTAACGCAGCCTAAGGGTCAAACTCTCTGCTCTGCACAGTTTTCATATACTAGAATAAGATTAATTGGTTGGTGGGAACCTTACTCTATCACGGGGCTTCTGGAGAGTAAGGGTTCATTAGGGTCCGGGTGGTCGAGGTTGGGGTTGTACATCATGGTCCAGATTATCTCCTGGGTCCAGGTCGATCCGCACTTCGGATAGGACATCACCAACACATCGTCTGATCGAAACTGAAAAGACACAGGAGGCAGGACAGCATCAGCATGTTGGCAGGGTGAAATTGTAAACGCGCACAGAAGCGAAATGCACAACAGAGACGCAAGAAATTGGACAATGGCATGTATCTGAATAATTTAGCAGCCGGTTGAGAGACAACTCGATTTACTTAGAGATATGATACAGGCTCTTCAACCCGACACCTATCAATAATAACTGAATTAAATTGGACAAGCATAAAATAAAATCCTCGGTTGAAGGAGGTACGTTAACAGATTTCTACCAAAATATTCTTGCAGGTTCAATGGAAATTGTATTGTGCAAATGGAAAATCTGTGCATTAAACCCTGGACGATTGTATCCAGGGGGGAAGATTGCGACTACTATATGGGCTCCCAGATGGACAGCCCATCTGATCTCACTATATTAATATTACCTTAAAATCGTAAACTTCTTTATCGATGCACTTCAAGCCTTCGTACACGATAGTCCCACATGGATTGATGCGGAACAGCCTGCTGCCTTCGGTTCCTGGGAAATCTTTAATATATTGGGCATGGACGTCGGGCGCCAGTATCTCAGCGTACCTGTCCCCGCTGAGCTCAAACCTTTCTCGTTGGTCTCGCATCTTAACAGAGGTTATTGAGGAGCAAGTAGAAGCTAAATTTAACGCCGAGTATCTAGAGTTATAGAAGAATACTGAACATCAGGCTGCACTTTCTACACCCTTAGAGATTGTTCTCACAATGATAAAATGTTTCTGCAAGTAGAGAACAACTAATTACCGGCAACCCAATGACACGATGATCTCCGACGAAAGAGTTACTCATTCATAATGAACATTTACCGAATTTTAAATAATCTAATCTTCGCAAAAGCCACACCATCCGCACACATCCATAACAGACGGTGAACCACTTAACTTGCCAATCATAGACGTGGTCGGTCAAGCTTCATAAAGGGCATTAAGTAGGTTCAACCGACTGTTCCATTCCGCTAGATTCACACTTTGTCGATGAACGAGTGTTGCCACTATCCCAGCCAGAAATGTGTGCTTAAACAATTGGCTACGATTCTCACGTGATGTGTATCCTACAGCATATTTAATCATCGGCCTTTCAATTAAGCGTGCATTAATATTGAGTAATCTTTCTCGGCATTAGGCAGAGAATTAAAGTTATATTTTTAGGGGTGAGTGACAGTAATACATATCTATACAAGTGGTTCCCAAAGTGGGCGATATTGCCCCCCTGGTGGCGGTGGAAAGATATGGAGGGGCAGCGAGTAAGAAAGGGACAGATAAGGGGCGGCAGTATATGGTCACGAGTCTCGGAGTCTGGCCCTAAATTTTTCCGAGCCGTCTTGAATTAGTAGTGCTGAAACAGTTGAAACTGCAAAAAATATATTGGTTTACGAAATGGGGTTTTATTTGTGAAATACACATTTGAGTTTAACATTTCTCTTTTAAAATTGCAGCGTTTTAAATATCAAGAAAGAGGCGTTTGCTTTTATATGCGTATGTCGGGAGGGGGCGTTAGGGATTCACTGGGGAGCCAAAGGGGGCGCCAGTCTGAAAAAGTTTGGGAACCACATATTCTAATCATCTATACAATCAATCATTATTAACTTATAAATGATCGTAAATCTATGAGAGCTTAGCCCCCTCTCCCCCAGTCCTTAAAACCTGGGCCCTCACCCTGCCTATACAAAGAGCTTGAAGGTAGGTTAACGTATTCCGGTAGCATTTCAAGTTGTTACTTCCCTGTCGAGGCTGGCAAACTGAGTTATTCACGAATAAGAGGATTGACAATTACTGGAACTAAAGCAAACCAAATTCAAATTGATCAAGCCTTTCGAGTCTCGAACGACTCGAGCCATTCATAATATAAATAGTAATAATAATAGCGGTTTCAGCGTTTATTAGGCCGTAGGCCTGTTGCCGATTCTTAACATCGCAGAACATTCACAGCTTGATGCGGTCTCGAACTCACAACTCACTGCTACAATTCTGCTGTGATTAACCGCCCGGCCTCCTTGCCGATTCTGACCATAAACTGGCGCACAAAGCTGGGATCGAACCCGCGCCTCTCTAGTGCGTCAATCTTGGTACTCTGAACTGTAAAAACTGGGCCACCCTGCCCAGTGATAATACACGCCAAAACTACTTGTCAAAAATTATCGATGAACTATTGTCGTTCAGGAGTACGGTCACAGCCCGTAATAGTAGTGGTTGTCAAGCAGTATCACGCAAGTGCAGCCACGTTACCACTAATCCAAAGTAGGACCACCAATAACTCTGCGGCCAAGCTGAGAGTCATACAGTATGTGGAATCGGCGATACAAAACTATGAACCTATGACAATGGCAATGACTTAGAGCGACGGCCGCGTCTTCTCATAAATTTATTTCTGACTTGTGGAGATCCGCCTGCGTTGACACGAGGCTATAGCCGAGTTATGGCGTCATAAAACATTACGGCAGTCGTACTCGTACCACTTTACTGTATCGCACAAGGGACGCACATATTCCAATGAAGTTTGAGTCAGGATTGCAGATATCTCATTGTGGAAAATATAGTCTTCAGTTATTGCAAAAAAGTATGAGTAGAGGAAAAAATGGGCTTATCTTATATTCTTGTCCTTTTCATCTTTAATTTTGTTCGCATTAAGACGAGTTCGCATTAAAACCACACTATAATTATAAATATAGGCAGTGCCTCAATTTTATGCTCATACACTCGATTTACTGCAAATAAATGTATAGATCTGTGCAGATTGCATAAACGCGCCTCAATTCAAACTTCTCGCGCTATCTATAGGCCATTTATTAATATGTTGCTTGATTCGCCACACTGAAGTGCAGAAGTGTTCAAAAATCTATTACATTGCATTCCCAAAAAATATGACTTGATAACAGGTACTGCTTTATAAAAGCTCTAATTCGAAGCCAGTTACCGTGCGTTAGACAGGGATCATTATTTTCAACTGAGAATCGTTCCTGACATCGAAGGTGTTAGAGAACCGCAAAAATTTGATATTAAATAAAGCAGGATGCTATACCGTTCGTAAACATTTCCATTTGTGGATATTAGTACATATAGGTTAGCAGAATTTGTTCCTTTAAGTAGGTTTCATGGAAGACCAGAGAATTTGTTTTATGGACAATTTTATTATTAGTTTTTTCAACATATCGAACGATATTTTTCGTTTACACTCTTAAATCGATAATCAAGGTACCGATGGACATTTTTAATTCGTTAACTACGTTTCGAATGTATCAATAATTCATTATCAAGTTACAAGACGCATTGAGTGATGAAATTTATGAAAGTGTATAGATCATCTAACAGTTCCTCTGATAATGATTAAGTACTGAACAGTCTTCAACCGAGCATGTCAGTCAACCGAACAGTCTTCAACCATAGGTCGCAAACGTTGATCGTTTTTTTTTTCTTACACCATCTAGAAATAGACTGGGCAGATGAATCCTCTCCGAGGGATGGGAATCACCCTGCGCCGTTGCTCACGGTGTCTGTGAGAGACTCATTTGTATTCCAGCACATCACCAAACCAACCCATTTTAGAGGTAAACAGACTCCAGATATTCTAGATCTTGTACGTGTTTACTAGTGAAGAATCAATGTTTCACCACGAGGCTCCGTTGTGCAAAAGCCACCACCAGTCAATTTTTTCAGTATTAAGTGCAAAAGAGAAAGAAACGCCTCGGAAGCGTGTACGTTTGAACTTTGCGAAACGTGACTGTTAAACATAAACTTGCGAGTCATGTTAAACTTCGTGAAGCAATGAGTGCAGCGAATATTCCGGACCGTTTTATAGACATGAATGTGGCTGAGTCGTGGTCATTCATCAAGAACACGGTTATGTCTGCAGTTGATGCATATGTACCAAAGATAAAGCTCGGTGGAGCTAGAAATAAACTAGTGGATGAACTCTACAGTTACAGAAAATCTAAAGGCAAAGAAGGAAGCCTACATGCGTTATTTATGAACTCTTAGCGATGCTGATTATAACCTGTACGCAGGAGCTCGAAATCAAGCTAAAAAAGCTTGTCGCACCGCAGTAAAAAAATGTGAAAAATATATTGCTAAAAATTCAAAAAGAACCCGAAAGCCTCCTTGTTGTACGCTAGTTCGAAGTGTGAGACAAAGGACGGTATTGCCGATTTGAATGTAAATAAACGAAAAAAGATATCTTCTGAGGAGGGCAAGGATAACGTTATAAATCAGTTCTTTAGTAGCGTCTTCATAGATGAGGACTTGAACAGTATTCTAGCTATTGAGTAGAGACAAGTGGAAGTGGGCTCGAGGTTAACTAGTTTCGAGATACACGAAGAAGAGGTTCTCAGGCGCTTGGTCTCTGTGAATCCCAACAAGTCATTTGGATGATCAGATGGTTTCCATCCTAGATTACTTAATTAATTAGCAACCGTCCTGGCCAGCCCTTTATAACAGCATTCTATCAAAAATAAAGNAAAAAAATTTTCACGTGCTACACATCACCGTTAGGTTCTGATGAGTACATGTTCCAAGTTTCATTGAGCTGCGTTCATTAGTTTGGGAGATATTACTTGATAATTGAATCTGGAGATTGGTCCTGAGACCGGCCACGAGTCCGGCCATAAATTCGCCCAAGACGTCCTAGGTTTATAGTGCTGAAACAGTTAAACAGCTGAAAAACATATTGGTTCACTAAATGGGGTTCTATTTGTGAAATACACAATTGTGTTTAACTTTCATTTTTTTAAATTGCAGCGTACTAAATTTCAAGAGAGATGCGTATATTTTTATATGTATGTGTCTGTGGGGGGCGCTAGAAATTCACTAGGGAGCCAAAGGGTGCGCCAGCCTGAAAAAGTTTGGGAACCACTGCTCTACACCGTACTACAATAGTAACCAAATGCTTTTGCAAGCCTGGCATGCACCTACTGAACTGTACGAATGAGACCTGCATACCTCACCATGTTCACAAATCAGCTCACCATGAGCCCAATCTTGAATGATTGGGCTCGCCTGCTGGATGAAAAGGAGCCATTGGATGCAGTGGACCTCTATTTTTGCCAAGGCATTTGTTAGTGTTCCGCATGAGCGACTGTTGCGCAAAGAGAAGTCTTTGGGAATAGATGGAAATGTACTACAATGGATCAGGGATTTCCTAGTAGGCTGAAGACAACGTGTCAGCATCACGGAACCGTATCAGTCTGGGCAACAGCACATGGGGCAACAGTGCGCAGTGACGTGCCGCAAGTAAGAGTTCCTGGGCCTGTTTCGTTCGTTGCTTTATCTCCCAAAAGTAGTGTCAAGCGTGTGCTCCATGCATGAGCAAGCTTACAGCATGAGAAGACATGGTTGCAACGAGCGTTAGGATTGAGAAATCTTGCGTGAAAAAAGATATGGGAGTTTGTGTCGGCAATGAGCTAAAATTTTCTAGACATTTTGAAACGCAAGTTAATAAATCCAATTAACTGCTTGGGCTGTTCATACGCTTCTACGAGTACCTGGATGTACAAGACATTAAGATGTTGTTTGTCTCTGTCGTGCACCCGAACCTAGAGTTTGGAAACGTTGTGTGGTCGCTGAAACTTGAAAAATACCAATAATTTAGTCGAGTGTGTTCAAAGACGTGCAACAAGGATAATTCCAGGCTAAAAGTGCAAGTCTTATGAAGTAAGATCGAAGATTGTGAAGCTTCTCAGTCTCTGCTATCGACATCTGCATGGCAACCTCATTGAAGTATACAAGTATATACTCATGGTTTAAACAATGTCCTAGAAGGATTAATATAATTTGAAACAAGAACCAACACAAGGGACACAGCTATATACTAAAAAACTGCGGGGACTCATCTATTCAACAACAGTTTTTCTCGCTACGAGTCACCGACATGTGGAACAGCATTCCTGATGATATTGTTGACGCTCCGAGTTTGAACGCGTTCAAGACCAGACTGGACAAGGCTACACAGGAGCAAGTTGAAAAAGAACAAGTTTAACTCCACGAGACACGCGCCCAAAATCAAGCAATAGTTCACGAAAAATATTAACTCTCTGTAATGCGGCGATGACGAGGGCCTATGGACAAGCCCAGCAACCGAATGGACAATTTTACGAACTCGACTGCAAATTCGCCTGCGGCAAGAGCATATGTTTTATTTTAAAATGCTTAATACCCAACGGAAAAACAAAGTCTAGAAACGATTTCAAACCACCGTCTGTTGAAAAGATTTGATCAAAAGAACTGTTCTTAGCGCATTTTCTCATTTATGGAAAAAAGACGCTAGTGTGCTCGTCATGTCCGTCTGTCCGTCCGTCTATCCTTGACTTCACGTTTTCGTCGACGAGAAAATGCGCTCTCTTTCACTCACAGCAGTGAGTACTGAGTTTTTTTTTAGATCTGTGAACAAGTCATGAAAAGTACAAGAATCGGCGATAGGCCCATCCAGGCATATTCTTCTACGCCGAAGATACTATTCTATACTAAATTTAGATCGACATGAGTACAAAATCATATAAATAGGTACTACTAAAAAATCTGAAATTTTTAAGAATTAATTACAAATCACAAAAATAGGAAGATGATCAAGAATTGAAGTATTAAAAAACACTCCGAAAACAGTCTCAAGGTTCTGACAAATCCAGCCGGCTGGAGACCCATCCTTAATTAATATGAGGGTTGAGTTGCCGTTGAGGGCCTCAGCTATCGCGAGTTGGTTGGCGTGTGGGCATCGCATGACGGCGCTGGTGCCATGGTTGAATTAATATAAAGTATTAATTCAACCATGGCTGGTGCATTCTTCCAGCTCCGTACGCGTGGTGGTCTAGTTGAGGGCCTCCATCAGCCGCATCAGGTGGTTCCTTGGTCCTCCAGACTTCATGTATGAGGGGCAGTGGGGCACACAAGCCGCTCAGCTCATATGAGACGTTTTCCTTAATATCGTGGTTTTGAGCTCGATATATTCCGTATTAAGGAAAAGTCTACAACCTTCTCTATTGCAGGAAAATTTATAATCGACATTGATCTCATAGAAAACTCCCATTTTTTGCAGAAGTTGCTGTTCATTACAAGATTCTGTATTTTCTTTTTTTTAATAGACCAGAAGTTCAATTTTATTATTAGTTACGCTTATTAAATGTTGTTGTGAACAATGGATTCCCATTTGCACGCATGGTTGATTTGCACGTATCTGCATTGGCAGTTGCTTGCCAAAGTTTGGGTAAATCCGTGAGTGACTTGCAGACTTTCGTCACGTTAAGCGAATGTCCTCTTCTGTTCTAGAGTGTTGCTTGTTCTAGTTATTTACAATCTTAATATGTGCCAGAAGCTTTCCTTATTGGATTTAGCTACCAAATCTGTAGGAATTTGTTTTATGTAAAACAGTAAAAATAATTTGAATAAATCATGACTCTACAGTCTCTACATTGTTCTCATATAATGCCGACGGGTGGTCGTCATGGAACACACTTGGAATTCTCTGAAATCTCTCCTAATCTTCTTGCCGCCGCAATTAACGAAAACTTTGGAATTACAGGTAAGCCTAAGGAAAAATGTGCATAGATTAGTAACTTTATTAAATTTTAATTCGTTTTATAATCCTTTCTTATTTAAAGCTAGGCCTAAGTATTTGGCTTTTTTCTGAGACACTATGGTATTGCCTCTATTGGTAGACTAGCTAATATTATATTTTAACCTATTTGAATTCTAACTTATTTTGTGTCCTTATGAGTTACCTATGACCTTATATTAGCCTAGTCTCAGATTTGCAGATGCAGTCAACTTTTTATTTGACTGTTTGCAAGATATTTTTGGAGATATTGAATAGGTATTTGAATAACGAGTAGGCCTACCTAACATTTTTCTAAAATTTTCAATGAACAGCCTATTATTAATGCATTTGCATCTGCATGACTGCATGGGATGATGGGAGGGGGACATCTGACATCAGACATGGGCAAGCATAGTCTGCATGGAAAAAATCTACCTTTAGGGCCCTGACACTGACAGGCTGACTAGAGCTTTCCAGTGAATCCAGCCATTTCCATAACCATTAGTTTTCCGCCAGATGAATTATCGCCTATCCAATTGTTAACAAAAGTACACAATCGCCATTCGGGCTGCAAGATTCCAAATGTATTAAAAATTTGTCATGTTGGAGGGGAGCCACGAGATTTCAGAAACAAGTAGCTAGGTAGGAAAATTTTTAATCCTGGACATAGGTAGACAGCTGACAGCCCAAGGCCCAAAGTGGAAAATTAGACAAAAAAATCCCATGAATCATTTTCACCAGATCCTATCAAAGCTATCATCCTATGGCATTTTTTAAATTTATTTAGTAAAAAATAGGAAAAGTGGCCTATTACTAGTTTAATTTTTTACTATCTGCAATTTCTTTTATCTGCTTGTGAATTAATCATTTTTTTATACAATTTGTGGAAACTTCTGCTGTCAGTATGTATTGTGATTAAAATTAGGGTATAGGACTGAACCATGAAAATTGTTGAGTTTAAAATATTATTTTTTATTTTTATACATACACTAAAGACAAGATCTGTGATAAGATTAGAATATTCCTATATTTTCCTGAAATTTTGTAACTGTAAAGCAAAATTTTTTTCAATCAATTTGAATTTGGTACCTATCCAATGGCTTGATCATGTAATTTTGTTAACAGAAAAGAAAAAAATTATCTATCTAGAATCTTGCAGCTCCAGAAAGGGCTGCAAGATTCTAAAATTTTTAAAAATATGTGTGCATGATTTCTATTTAGTTGAAAAAATTATTTCTATCAAGATTGTATATGTTTGTTCTGCAATTTAATATTACTATTATATATTTTAAAATAATTTTTTAATGCAAACCTCACTGCATTTTCAACCTATATGAATGCAATGAACTAACATTTTTTTACTCCTTAGGAAAAGGAGAAGTTGCTGTGCTGAGCATTGATTACAGTGGTGGCGGGTCTGCACTTCAAGGTGACCAATAATGTGTTAGTATCAGTATCAGAAGTTTAAACTTTTGCTGCAAATTACCTGTTTTATGTGTACCTCATTTTATTTTTTGTTGTTTTTAGGTTTTGCTCACTCTTTGATGAATAAGAGAAAGCAGTTTTAATTGAATTGGCCCATAAACTACTTTGTAGTTTGTTAAGGAGCAGCATAGGCACTTTTAACAGTTTCATTTTTGCTGAGGTTTTCCCTGAGTTGCCCCAAGTTTTTTAGATGCATTAGAGATCTTTTGATACATGTCAGTTTGTTATTAAAAATTTTTATAGGGTTAGGAATGAAAAATTAGTTGTTTGTGAGTTTTAAATGCTGTAGGATCTCATTAACTTTGGGTACGTAACTTAACTTGTTCCTCATTTTGGAGGACTTTTAAAGGAAAAAGCTTCATTGTTGCATTTCCTTTTCTGTATCAAGTTTAAGATATGACTGTTTTTTCCAATTTCAGGACCCAAGTTCAGTGGTCGAGCGTCAGTGTTTGCTTATGAGACCGCTTTGACAAGCTTGTGCTGGTGCTCCCAAGCCCCTCACCTCATCCTCACGGGGGCGAAAGATGGCCGACTGCTCCTCTGGAATGCTGGCAAGCCTCAGGTGCGATACCAACCCATTATAATTGACCATTTAACTGCAGTACAAATTTTTCTCTCATCAGCCACAAGTATCAAGCATCAATAAGAATTTTTGTACTATTTGGTTCAAATTGGTTGATAATTTTAGAACACAATCACCATTATTATTACCCCAAGGTACCGGTATTTATCACTGAATCGGATGATAATGCCTTACATGCAGTGTAAATACCAGATCAGTTCTACAGATGACTTTTTTGCAAATTATCCGAGCAACTAATCCACCCGGCATCCTTGCTTCATTGGATGTAGAATCACTATTTACAAACGTTCCGGTAATCCCAACAATCGACTTGGTTTGTGATCTAGCATACGCCGACCCAACAAAATCGCCCCCGCTGGACAAAGCAATACTTAAGAAGTTATTAGTAGCCTGCACAACCAAATGCCCTTTCACCCATACAGATGGAACTCTGTACCTCCAAACAGATGGGGTCAGAATGGGAAGCCCTTTAGGTGTCACTCTTGCCAATTTTTACATGACCACATTGGAAAACAAGATCCTCGAATCCAATCCCCACAAACCAGTTTAATCACAAAGAACAACACAGCCCCGAAACTACCAGCCCTGAAACAAACAAATGTCATATACGAATACACGTGTAACCGCGGGGAGTGCGAGCCCCGCAACAACTCGTATATCGGCATGACTACTACAACCCTATCAAGACGGCTCACAATGCATTTAGTTTCTGGAGGACCCAAAACGCACACTATGGACAACCACGACACCAAATTATCCCGGGAAGAACTGGTACAAAACACAAAAATCCTTTGCCACGAACCAGACTTCAACAGACTACAAATAATGGAAGCCCATCTAATTCAACGGAAAAAGCCATACCTCAACAATCAAACGACTGGATCCGAACGCACTCTGAAACTTCATAACTAAAACAAGTGTACAACGGACTGTATAAGAACCTTACTCGTAGCTTCGTTCACTACCTATACTAGTCTTCTCTCTGCAGCCAACCCACAAGCAACTCGTCTACTCAGCTGCTCGACCTCGTTGCCTGAAGATGCTCAGTGATGAGCGAAACGCGTCGCAGGATTTATCAAACCTTTCATTTGGACAAATTTTAAGACACATTGAACCCATTACTGTACCTCTTATCAGAAAGCTTGAGAGATTAAACTCAAAAGAAGTCCTCAATAAAACTGGCATTATTTTTAACAAAACACTGTAAAGAACTGAATGTACTGAATAACTTATAGAGTAGAAGGGGCTTGGAATGTAATGCAAATGCGCTTGCTTGCAACTATTTGGTTCAACATCTGCAGGTTAAGTGATGCTGCATTTTCCACAGAAATTAAGATCATTATGTATGTTCTATCAATTGCCTTAATGTCACATTATATAATTGAATAATTTGACCTATTTAGAACCATCTATTGTAGCATCTTTGCCTTGAACGCATCTTTGCTTACTAAAGTCAGGTCAATTTATTGCTACAATTTGGCTATAGTACTTGTTAAGCTATTTATTCTGAGATGTCCTCACATGCGCTGCTAGAAATATCTAGATTGAGATTCAGTGATAAAGGCACATTAGTCTTTATTTTTTATAAATATTTATTCACAGTTAAAAACTGAGCAAGTGATCAACCAGAACTTGAGTTAATGGTAGAGCTCATATATGTAATCATAAAGCCTGTTTCATTTTTATGTCTATGGTTGTTATTATAGTGTGGTTCAGACACTAGGGCATTATTTTTCATTTAGCCTAATTTCTTCACAGTTGGATTTTAAGATAAATGAAGGTACTTGGACTTTCCTCCACGCATTAGAATGACGTAATTCCTAAGGACTAAATCATTACAATAAATTGCATTTTTTAATTTAGTTTTTAATTTTTAGTAAAATTATGTTCTTTCAATAACACAATGTGCCCATTGCTGGAAAAGAATTTGAAAGAAGTCTCCCTGTTAGCACACTAAAATGTTTTACTCTCAGTGTCTTCCCTTAAACAACTCATTGAATGTGTTTTTTTTAATTAGGCATTTAATATCGTATAAATTGGTTCTGTATTATGCCTTCTATACATGTTTATATACAATTGATAATAATGCATGTATCATTAATATTGTACTATACATGTAATTATTATAATAATATTGTTCTCTTTCTAAAGCATGTTTTGTTTGCAGGAAGAAGCGTTAGTTCAGCAGTACGTGGGACCTGTGCGAGAAGTGGCAGCCGTGGCCTGGAGTCCCGTGGCCTCTGAGCCACGCTTCGTGGCTGCTTCCTGGGATGGTTCTATACTGATGGTGACAGTGCATCATTTTAGTGTCTGCATGATAGAACGGTTCCATTATGATGATTATTATGATGATGTTTTGTTAGGATTAATTTGTGTGTCAAGCACGACCTCAGTGTGACCCCCACTCCCCCATAGATGACATGCCTCCTCCCGCAGTTTGACCCGGCCGTGGGCATCGCTACCCAACACGTCGCTCAGTTCCCGTGTCTGGTGTACGACGTGCGATGGTCGCCACGCTTTCCCAACACCTTCATCGCTGCCGCCGGTATTGTCCACTCACCGCACATTTTTACTATTGTTACTAGCCTGGCATATAAGCGTGCAACCTTAGCAATATTATAACGGAACTGCCAATCCTTGCAGCCACTACACAACACAATAATTCCAGCATGCACTTCACCTCTGCAGTATTGTAATACTGTAGCAATAGCTTTAACGCTATTACACCCTCATGCGATCATATTACCTATTATATTTTCTTACATTAATTAATTTCGAGCTTCCTTATGTGAGGCAATGTTCGATTTAATGCGAGTTCATGGTTAACTCTGAGATGTGTGTAATTCTTTGTATTATGTCCCGTCACTGTATTAGGTGTGTAATGAGTCTAATAATGACAGTGACGTGATGATGCAATGATGTTCACATATGCCTCAAGACGTCGTGATTCACCCCATCCATCAGGAGACGGTACGGTGCGCGTGTACCAAGGAGGCCTGCCAGGGGTGACGGTCCCCGCCCGTCCAGGGGCCGACGTCCTCAGCTGCGATTGGAGCCCCACTTCTCCCTACCTCCTGGCTACCGCTGACGCCGAGGCTGGCGTCAGGCTCTGGGACCTGCGCTTCTGTCAGCAGCCGCTCGCCGCCATGCAGGTAGCGGCGTTAAATTTAATCATGAACCGTGAATTCTAAATAATGTCTCATTTATTAATCTAAGAATATGTACTAATTCTGAATAATATAAATCCCTATCTCGTCATACTCGCCAGGGACACTCGAAGGCCGTCAATAAAGTGCGGTTCTCCCCTCACCTCCCCAGCACCCTCGCCACCGCCTCCTACGACTTCACCACCCGGTCAGTCCTGCGACCTAATTCTATATTGAATAAATTGCCTCCCTCTTACTGCTCACTACTGCATCTCTTGCCTCCCTCTTACTGCTCACTACTGCATCTCTTGCCTCCCTCTTACTGCTCACTACTGCATCTCTTGCCTCCCTCTTACTGCTCACTACTGCATCTCTTGCCTCCCTCTTACTGCTCACTACTGCATCTCTTGCCTCCCTCTTACTGCTCACTACTGCATCTCTTGCCTCCCTCTTACTGCTCACTACTGCATCTCATGCCTCCGTCTTACTGCTCACTATTGAATCTCTTGCCTCCCCTCACATGACTCTGCGTTCACGGCAGGGTTCTCTTCGACTGCATTGTTTTTCAACTTTTGAAGTATCAAATCCGGCTATGAATATTAAATTTTTTACCACGAACTTGTTCTACTCGGTTGTAATGGTTGTAACATGACAGAGTGTGGGACATGGACGGCCGAATGTTGACGTCATCGGCGCACAGCGGCTTCAGCGTCAGTGTGGCGTGGAGCGCCGGCGCAGCAGGTGTGCTCGCCGACTGCTCCTGGGATTCCACACTCGCCCTCTACGTTATCTGATTACTTAATTTTGTTCGTGACATTATTTTTCGTGGGCAAATATTTAATGATTTCAATGTCAGTTGATCCTACATTTATCTGAGATTATTCTCAGTGGGCAAATTATGATTTTAATATCCATTGTTCTTCAATGGATATTAATTAATGGATATCCATCTTCCATTCTATTGTTCCTATCCTTAACCGAGATTAATGCTCGTAGGCAGATGATTATTTAAACAGGTATAAAGTGTTCCTGCATTCGGTTCACCATAAAATAACGAAGCTCTCTGTTAAATGAAATGCTAACTTCTGGAACTTCGTTACAATTTATGTACACAACAAATGCCGGCAACCTATTTAGTTTTGAAGCGGCCATTACATATTTATTTGTCACTTACTAAAATTTTTAATTGATCCATTAAAATGACCTTCAAATGATATCTATATTCATCAGCAACTTCATACGATTTTTTTCACAAACTGTGATATTCGTGCCATGATTTGCAACTGGTGATTCATCATTTTCTATTATACGTCTGGCTGGAAAGATATCATATTATATTAAGCCTTTTTTTATCCCAAGTGTCATCGAAATTTATACATCACGATAAAAATTAGACTCATAATCTGGCGGTCACTGGTCTCGAGTATAAACTAGACGGAACATTCACTACTGAGAGCAGTAGGACACGTCTACTCGAGGAACCGCCTATGTGGTTCGATTGATGTTACCACGTTGATCAAGTTGAGCTGGCAAGCAGCACCAATTCTGATATCGATTGCGCAAGTACCGATAACTGCGCACAAGGATCTACCGCAGTTAACTTTTCGATTTAATTGAAAAGCGCTCCATAATCTCTCGGACGAAACAAATTTGGACAAAAGTAGTTCGGCTTCTCATAATGAATTTAATCCTAAACATTTTCTCTTACTCCCGGTCTGTTGAAAGGTAGCCTATTTTTTAACGCCTATTTATACTTTCTGTATTTATTTCTAACTAATTAACAAATGCTAATTTTTGTAGACCGAAATTGTGGACCATAAATGTATATATATATATAAATATATATATATCAATTATTACGCAGATGTTCGAATGCAGCTAGGTGAAATAATACTGAAGAAAGTAGCCAAGTAGTGTCATTGAAAATATTGCACTAAGATTTTCTCTTAGGGTACAGTAAGCTACAACTTGAGTGGATGCCCTTGTTTTGACCGAGGGAAAACAGCTGGTTGCGCTGCCAAACGTGAACGTGTTTAATATTCATGTATGAATTTCCACCTATGTTAAAACATTGCCTGATCTAAATTTTTTTTTGTAAATTTATTATAAAATTTCGACTTTGAGGTATACCTCCTTATCTTAAATCTTCAATGACATAAATTGAAGGCTAAATTTATTTTATTTGCAATAACTAAGGTTTGGTGAACGTGGTGCTCTGACGAAACGTGGTGTGATTGTGTTCGGCTCTTGTGATTGGCTGCTAGTCCTCATTTCTTGATCGCGCGATCCAGCCATCCAGTCCAAATTGCGTATTGTAGGTATCCTGTTAGGTGAAAAGCCAGGCAGCGTTGTGAATGTTCGTTTAAGCCCCAGAAGAAGTGTCTGTGACTCTGTGATGAGATTTTCATTATGGAAGACGACTATATTATTCCTGATACATTTCTTCAGGAAGGTACGTCACCGTACGTGTTGTTAAGTCTCGATGAATGCCATAATTACACAGGCTAGGAGCCTAGGGATAGTTGAGTGTTAGGTCATATGGTCTGTGACTGAAGTTCATGTCGATTGAGGAAAAACTTGTTGATCTTTCCGGTCAAACTTCGAATTCTTCGGCATTCATTTGTGAGCACAGAAAAAAACGTAATTGTCAAAATAATAGTATTTAGAAAAGAAAGGCTTATTTAATGCAGTAAAAATTGCATGGGAAATGAGACTTGGGTATATTGTTGCTATTTTTTCCTAATTCTTTACCTGTTTTGTGGTTTATGTTTAACCTTTGCACGAGGAACCAATTTGAATATCATTCAATTTCTCTTGTAATGACAAGGTTTCTAATCCAGAAATATGTACATTCCGTCAAACGGGGTAATAAGGTCTTAGGGGATGGGTCAGGTAAATTGCAAAATCGGGACAGTCGTCCCACATTTTGTAGAAATGTTGTATTCTTGTAGCAGCTAAACTAATCAAAATATTGCAAAACTAAAAATAGTAGCCTAAAGTTCAAGATTTTTAATATCTATGAAGCATAAATTTAGTTGAGAAATCATAAATTTACTATCCCTAAAAAAATCCCCAAAAAAAAGTGTGAAAAGTGAGATTTTGGAACCGTACCTGACGGTAGTCATGGTACCTCTGCTAAAATCTTGGTTTGTAGCAAAAAAATATTTGCCGTATCAAGAAATTTTACTTGCATAAAAGTTACACACAGGTGTTGGCTTAAAAACGCAACGTCCAGAATTTGCATATCTTATTCCATAAAAAAAAAAAAAAAATTATGTCTATTTAAAATGAGCCCAAACTTGTTTAGGAAATGTTTCATGGTAAGAAGTTATTTATGAAAAATGCTCAAAACTGTCTCTTATTACCCTCTTTTGATGGTTTTAGAAACATCTTCTTTCATTTCATAGTTTCATACTGGGCTCATTTTCTCAAAGCCTCAAACTAGAAAATGGGCCAAAGTAAATTTAATTTACAGTACAGGCAGCTTTTGCCTGCAAATTTTGGTCTAATTTAAAATTATAAAAAAAATGCTCATGTTAGCCAATATTATCACCAATTTTTCACTATATTTTGTATCTTTCACCTGATTTTGTGGGAAAAAGTTTTAGAAAATTTTACATTGTTGCCCACAAGCCACAATGTTGCAAAATTACTTGTAAAATGACTGTTTGTGCTGTCATATTTGAAGGATTTCATTCCGTGCTCAAGATTTGCATTGACTCAGGATTGCAAGCTTCCTACTTGTGAATGAAATTTTGTGGCTCCAAAGTGATAAATTTTTAACACATTTGAAATCTTCTAGCCAACTGCCAAGTTGTACACTTTTGTTAACAATTGGATAGGAGATAATTTATCTAAGGTGAATCTTGCAGCTCTGAAAATGGCTGGAAGTCTCTAGTCATTGACCATAGTGATGGCTCAACTGGTCAACATATTTCATGTCAGCATTGGACAGCTGCCTTTAGTCAATTAGGAATTGGAAAGGTCTGCCCTACTGACGTTTTTGGTAATGCTGTGATGCTTTTAACTAGTGATGGTTTCAATTCAGCAGACTGATGACATTCTGAAAAATTGGACAGCAGCCACCCATGATCCATGATTTAGACAAAATAGCCTGTGCTTCTGGTAAATTTTTTCTGTTTTTAGCCCTTACCTGATTTCTTTTATGAAAAATGTAAATGCACATTTTTGCCAAGGATTTTTTGAAAAATGTCTAATATTCAGATTGGTTCAGAAGGCTAATTCTCAAGCCAGTGTGAAATAAGAAAATTTGATCTATATTCACCATGGAATTTATTTGCTCAAAATGCCATTAAAATGCTCTACAGCCACAAGACGCTTCTGCATTGTGCGTACTAATATTCTGAGCTGTGAATGTATTTACAGCTAAAGTTAACTTCCTGCTTTAACCTAAATCCACAATAATTAATTATTGTTATTTCAAATGAAGGGCTTCTGCTGAATAACATCAATCAACAAAAGGCAGCCTTGCACCACCTACCAGTCACTTTAACCCATGTTTTGAATACATGCATCCATTATTGTGTTTGCTAAACACTCAAGATGCAACTGACATTGAATTTTCACTAAATAAATGGCACAAAATAGTGAATTTGTGTGCAGAAATTTATTTAGATTGTTGAAGCTAGGTTCACTTGAGATGAACCAAAAATTTGGTTCATCCAGATTTGTGGTAAAATCTTTACATTTCAGGTAACCTCTTCTACTTCAGTCTATCTTATGACTTTAATTGTCTACATTAGACTTCTTCCTCGTAACTTGATTTACAATGAGCACCTTTGAAGCCTCTATGCCACTGAAGAGGTTATTAACAATACTACACAGTACACACTAACCCTGTAGATTTCATGCTTATCATTCAAATATATGTACCTACTGGTACCTATGTATAATTTCTTCTTTCAAATTTGCAATGTTTTACCATTCTCAACCTGCATATCATTGTTAGGTTAAATATGCATTTAAAAATTACTTTTTAAAGACACATCAAAAGAGGCCAGTGTATCCAATGTTACATGTGAACAATGAATTGCATATTTTATTTTTAAGATATAAAAAAAATCATTTTTAAAATTTTTAGTATTAAAAAAGTTTAATTTTTAAAATTATTTATTTCGTCGATTGAATCGTGCATTGTCTCCGACGCTATGCAAGTGTGCAAAATTTCAAATTGATTGCACAGGTAAAAGTGTGTTAAATATTGATTGTAAGATTTGTAGCAGACAAACAAACAAACAACAAGAAGTCAAGCTAAAGAGAAGTGTCGTAAAAAAAAAAGGTTGCATTGCCACAATAATTTTACCCTTACTTGCTAATAAATTGCCAATTTGCCTTGACTATCTTGCCTTCATCACTAATGGCTACCTAATTCTTTTATCACATTCTCTCAAGTTGAATAGTATTTTACTTTTCTTAATAGTTAATAAAACCTAATTTGTAAAGATCATTGGCAACAGGTCACATTATGGGTTTGTAGGCTTCAAACGCGCACAAAATTTACCTCACAAACTGTAGGACAGGAACTAATCTCTATTTTCGTTTAATTCAACAATTTATAAATGCCAAAACATTATTGTTAATCAGGAAATCATATTCAGATCACCTTGAGTTCTCTAATGGCAGGTACTGGTACATTCGAATACAGCTATTAAATATATACGGTATTTATTTTCAGATCTCCTATCATCCATGAACTGGAATGACATTGACCTGGGAGACCTGAATTCCTTGCAACTGGACCTGGATGGGCAAGCACTGCAAACCTTGCCTGACTCTGACACCCAATCAACCAACCACTCCTCGTTTATTGAAGAAATCAACGATAACTCCTCACTGTCTGCGCAGGAGCAGCGAACGTCAACCTATGCCAGTGACTCCGCTGTCAATGTTTTTAAACCAGCACTTGGGGCAGAGTCAATATTGGACTCAAGTAAGTCAGGATACTGGCAGCCCTCTCAGAACTCGGAGTCTGAGACCAATATTGTTTTGCCACAAGGTAGATTACCAGTCTCACAAACTCAAACATTTGCGCTGAGTGGGCACGCATTGCCAAATTCTCATGAAAACCAAGGCTCATCTGATGGAGGTTCATCCTTCTTCAACCCACAACCAGCATCAAATGGCAGTACGTTGCAAACTGTGCACATCCTGCGCTCAAATAATCCAACCTTTTTCAAAGGTGTCCAGCCTGATAAAGCCATCAATAATCAAAGGTGCACTCAAAATTTAAGTGTCAACCATAACATTGACTTGGCTGGCACTCCAGTGGGGCTGATAAATACGTCACAGCCAGCAGAGAAAAGTGGAGTTATCATAAATCAGAATAATTCAGCATCTCCTGCTATGAAGCCTGCCACCGTCAATTTGCTGTACACTGCGCCTGCAAATATGACATCCATTCAGTCCCCCATGCCTGTTGGCACAACCATCTTCACTGGCATCTCCGTCATGCTCGCCAACCCCACCAACACCGTCACTGGCGTCACTGACAGCTCCTTGATTGCTGGCAACTTATCGCCAAATAATATTCTCAGTCTATCCAACTCTTATAACTCACAAGACCAAGGCAAACCTATGAAGAAGAACACGCACAATGATATTGAGAAGAGATACAGGTGCTCCATCAATGACAAGATCTTGGAGTTGAAGAACCTGGTGGCAGGGGAGGAGGCCAAGGTTTGTAGCTACCCACATTGCTTTATTTGTACTAACTACATCTTATGAGAGATATTATAGAACATTGAAGTTACTTTTCATTGAAAATTATCATTTTTACCATTTGATTGGGACAACACATTAAGAAGCTATCTCTAAATGTGATACATGGCCAGGAAATATTGTAAGTATGAATTATCACCTGGTGGCATCACAGTTTAAGTTGGACTGCTTTTACTTCTTGTTGAAGACATCAAATTAAGCATAAGTAATTTTTTGCTGTTACCATATGTGTTTGAATGCTATGACCCGTATATAGACAAGATTACAGATAAGAGAGGAAGTGTTTGAAGGATTTTATTTAAATTATATCAATACTTAATTAATTTGGACTTTCCACTTGCACGAGTGAAGAATGGTATCTTTGACATGAAATTTTTATTTGTTCTTGCATAATATAATAAGGCTCTTCTGATGAATTCTGCACCATCTCAGTTCTTCTTTAAGTTAACTAATAAACATTATATTTTTTTCAATTATGTAGAAATTAATTAGAGTTCTTCTGAGCAGCTTCACAAGTCTCAGATACTGAAGAAAGCAATTGAGTACATCCGCTTTCTGCTGAGCCAGAACAAGCGTCTGGCAGCCGAGCTCAACACCTACAAAATGAATGACAAGAACGCTGCTGTGTCAAGCGAGTGTGTCACTCAGCACCATCACCTCTTGTCCAACTCTGACGCCAGAGCCTCTGAGCCTGTCTACTTCTCTTCAGACATGGCCGTCCCTACATCCAACCTCGTGCTGGGGGGGCGACGAGCTGGTGGGTTGTGGCGTAGAGTGATATGTGGGTAACATGTCATGTGGATGGTGTCATGCAGTGACATGTGGGTCACGGCATGCAGTGATATGTGGGTCACGGCATGCAGTGATAGCAAGTCACGGCATGCAGTGATAGCAAGTCAAGGAGTGCCAGCTATATATACTGCAGCAAAATAAATTGCATGTTCAAAATGCACCATCTCATTTGGCGAAGAAATAAATAGGTATAGGATAAAGGAAACACGAGATTGATTAACAACAAGCAGATAATATAACAACTGTTAACTCGTTTAATAAATGCTGGAGTGTATAAACACTAGCTCTCTACTCTTCAATTTATTACACTTAAAACTTTTTAAAATAAAATTGAAAACCCTAACTTTATTAATCATATAATAATATTCAATTCTCAATTAGCTTCATAGCAAAAAAAAAAAAAAACCCAACTTCCAGAAGTAGACTTCTTGGTAATATTGTTACCTGATGGCCCAAGCTTCAGATTAAATTTTGCAAATTTTGTTAAGGCCTCAGAACCTCCTGTTAATGGTTGATCATTTTTAACAGGCTCATGCCCTCATGCCGGGGCTGGTGGCATGATTCCCCTCACTCCCCCCGAGTCAGTGGGCTCATCCCCCGACACCACACCTCCTCACCTCCCGTCCTCACCAGACTCGGGGAACTCATCTGACGTCCCCAGCAGGGTGAGGCTATGTAGACTCGTCCATTTCTGCTTGTGTCCTGAGTAGAGCAGGGGTCATACTTTCAAAACTCGCTAAGTGAACGTAAGTACTTACGCTCTATTTTCTTGTCTATGATAGGTGGATTTTGCTTGAAAGGCCCTCAATGATTGGCTGATGAACTTACGATCTCTTAACTTTTTTGAAAGTATAGGCCCAGGTATCCATGATACTCGTACAGACTCCGACATCAATGGTTGACAGCAAATGATGTATGTAAAATAACAGTCAAGTTTAGTTTATTTTCTTCTAAGCACATCAATGCTGAAAAAAAAAACAGAAGAGAAGTGCTCTCGAGGAGCGAGGAAAGCCCCGTGTGGTGTGGGAGGGAACTGCGCTCCCTTCAGGCATTTCAGAAGTATCACTCAATAAATTCAATGTATCACTGTATGTCACTGGACAATGTATCACTCAAAGAAATCAGTGATACATTGTCCAAATAGCAATGCAATTCTTGCTCTTATGTGAGTTATCCTGACCCAGTACTGCCCGGCAAAAGAGTGTATCAGTGCTATGAACAAAAAGTGTATGATCATTTGGACTTTATGACCAATTTATTTTTCTGTGTGTACGATTCAACGAGCCTCTACCTTGCAGGAGGAGCGGCTGGGTCTGGGGGACAGGTCGCGGGTGCTGCTGTGCGTCCTCATGCTGGGGGTGGTGGCCGAATCACTCCTTAGTACAATCGCTTCTGCTATAACTCAACATTAAACATTATTTCTGGCCTCAAGCGCTAAAGTTTACTACTGTCACTAAGTATTGCTCTTCTTGCAAATTTGCTCGCAATTCAACTTTGCCTGGTTCTAAATTTTGTTTTAAGTGATGTTTATGCTGTCGTATATATCTTGCTCATATTTGTATTGAATGTGCAAGTTTGCTCAGTAATGATGCTAGCAATATAACGACAAAAAAGGGCTGTCAAATCTTATGTAATTAACAAGGACTCCCCCTTCTTCCCCCTCCAGAGGAGGGTGGGGTCAGCATGATGTGGGGATGGGGAGTCGCCCTGAACACCTTACTGCTGCTGTTGTTCCTGCTGCAACTGTTTGTGTATGGGGAGCCCCTGGTGGGGGCCAAGACCCCCACAGGACAGGTGTTCTCCGCTCATTGCAACACAGCGCGCGCACATCAGAAGAAGGTGAAATTACCTCCTGTGTGTGATGCAATATCTCATCTTGACACTTGCCTTCTACGTCGCCTCCAAAATCAGGTTACCTCATCTCCGGTATGATTTCCTCAATTCCTCCATATATGGAGGAAACAATAGGACGAGCCTTAGGAAATAGTAGGACGCACTTTACATGCACTTACCGCAGGTTGCATTCTGCATACACCTGCAGGATCCCTGAATTATTATTGATGCCCCCAGGGAGGTCACAGCCAGGCGTGGGTGTCGTACTGCGCGGCGCTGGAGTCGGCGGGGCGACCGGTGCCCGAGTCAGCGCTCGAGCTGACGACGGGGCTAGCGTGGCAGCTCTGCCGCCTGTGGCTTGATCTCTTCGGCATACCCAAGTTCTTCTGCAGATACTCAGGGGGCTTCTCCCTCACGCGGTGTGTTCACGTGCGAGTTCTTGACAAGTTTTACTGACCCACACATTGTTGATGTGTCCGAATGCTACTACTTATTTGTCCTTTCTACAGTATTTTTATTTGGTGAAATAATAGAAGCGGTTTACCAACAATTGCAGTATATTGCCACCTATAATTTTTGTTTGTTAATTCGTTTGATTTTGGCAGTGAGGCTCGCAGCGACGGCCGCGACCACCTGCGCGCTGTGAGCGCGGTCTACCACGACCTGCAGCGCCTGCACCTCATGGGCTACACCAAGACCTCCTCACACGCCCTCGGCCTCTACCTCGCCCTCGCCAACCTCAGCGTCACCGACCCCGCCTACGTCCCTGGTAGGGTTCTGTGTCATTCGTTGGCCTATGTCCCTGGTAGGTCCATGTCCCTGGTAGGTCCATGTCCCTGGTATGTCCATGTCCCTGGTAGGTCCATGTCCCTGGTAGGTCCATGTCCCTGGTTGGCCCGTGTCCCTGGTTGGTCCGTGTCCCTGGTTGGCCTGTGTCCCTGGTTGGCCTGTGTCCCTGGTTGGCCCGTGTCCCTGGTTGGCCCATGTCCCGGGTTGGCCTGTGTCCCTGGTTGGCCTGTGTCCCTGGTTGGCCCATGTCCCTGGTTGGCCCGTGTCCCTGGTTCGGTAAATGTTTTAATTGCGTTGGGAGTTCTGTGAATGCAGGTGCCGTGCGTGTGGAGGCTGTTCTCTGAACGTGCGGAGAGGACGAGGGGGCGTGTTAGTGTGTGAGGGCCTTTTGATGTCTAATTGAAGCGAGGTGACGTCTTACCTCGTGCTATGGCAAAGTTTAAGTTGACCTTGTGATTGCCTCTTCCACTTTAATTTCTAAGGCCACGTACCCCTGGCAGAGTGCGACGTGGCGGGGGTGCTAGTGACGTGCGCCTTGCGGGGCCGGGAGAGCCTGCCGTCGTGGTGCGCCGCGGTGGTGGTGCGCCTCCTGCTGGTGCGCGCCCGACGCTGTACCACCCTCACCCTTCCCCCAGCCCTCGCCTGGATACTCCATGACCCTGCTGGACAAAAGTACTCCTCTTGTATTTATTCAGATGATTGTAATCGTATAATGTATGTAACTTAATCTTAGATTGATGATCTGTAATGTTGTGTTGCAAATATCATGGCATCTGTGGCTGTGCCGTACCTCGGATCTTCGTGACCCCCCCGTGCCATCTCGTCCTTGTCGTGGGGGGGGGGGCTTGCGTGTCTCGATGAGACCCGAGGCTGTACGGCCTCAGATGCAATCATGGACCATGATACTCATACAGACTCAACATCAATGGTTGTGTAAATTAACAGTCAAGTTGCGTTTATTTTCTTCTAAACACATGAAGGCTGAAAAAGAAAACAGAAGAGAAGTGCCCTCGAGGAGCGAGGAAAACCCCACGTGGTATGGGAGGGAACTGCGCCCCCTTCAGCCATTTCAGACGTAGCATACTCAAAGAAATGAGTGAGACATTGTTGAAATAGCAATGCACTTCTTGCTCTTATGTGAGTCATCCTGACCCAGTACTGCCTGTTAATAAAAGTATCAGCGCTAGGTACAACAAGTGCATAACTATTTGAACTATATTACCAACTTATTTTTCTGACTGTAAGATTCAACGAGCCTCTACCTTGCAGGAGGAGCGGCTGGGTCTGGGGGACAGGTCGCGGGTGCTGCTGTGCGTCCTCATGCTGGGGGTGGTGGCCGTGAACCCCTGGGGGCTGGTGGGGCAGCTGGGGGCCTCCTCCACCCCCCTCACTTCCCCGCCCCACCACGACACCTCCCGCACCCTCAACTCCCTCACTTCGGGTATGTATTTATTAATGTACCTTGTACTTATTTGTACTTGATTAATGTACCTTGTACTTATTTGTACTCAATGTTTGTACTTATTGATCATTGCCACCAGTAATTATCATCATTAATGATCATCGTTGCTATCAATGACCGCCTTAACACGTTGACTCCGAAGTGGTACATATGCATACCACGAAATGTATTTCTCCAGTATGCAGTAGTACATAATTCAGGTTGCCTGAAATCGGACAAATCTGAGAACAAAAAAGGCCGATAACTCATTATATACTAGTTTATTTGTGGGTTCCACTATAAAAATTTCATTTATTTTCTTTTTGCAATATTTAAAATTTAATTAGGAAGTACCCTTATCATAAATTTTAGCTGGCCAACGTAATTAAGAAAAACTAAATCACGGAATTTGTCCGGAAAAAATGACCGTCTGGCAACCCTGTTAAAAACGGTACAAAAAATTGAATAATAGTACAAGATTAAGCATTCGGCGGCAAAGTGTTAGCACATCACTCCTTAGTACAATCGCTTCTGCTATAACTCAACATTAAACATTATTTCTGGCCTCAAGCGCTAAAGTTTACTACTGTCACTAAGTATTGCAATGTCCCTGGTAGGTCCATGTCCCTGGTAGGTCCATGTCCCTGGTAGGTCCATGTCCCTGGTAGGTCCATGTCCCTGGTAGGTCCGTGTCCCTGGTTGGCCCGTGTCCCTGGTTGGCCCGTGTCCCTGGTTGGCCTGTGTCCCTGGTTGGCCCGTGTCCCTGGTAGGTCCGTGTCCCTGGTTGGCCCATGTCCCTGGTTGGCCCGTGTCCCTGGTTGGCCCGTGTCCCTGGTTGGCCTGTGTCCCTGGTTGGCCTGTGTCCCTGGTTGGCCCGTGTCCCTGGTTGGCCCATGTCCCGGGTTGGCCTGTGTCCCTGGTTGGCCTGTGTCCCTGGTTGGCCCATGTCCCTGGTTGGCCCGTGTCCCTGGTTCGGTAAATGTTTTAATTGCGTTGGGAGTTCTGTGAATGCAGGTGCCGTGCGTGTGGAGGCTGTTCTCTGAACGTGCGGAGAGGACGAGGGGGCGTGTTAGTGTGTGAGGGCCTTTTGATGTCTAATTGAAGCGAGGTGACGTCTTACCTCGTGCTATGGCAAAGTTTAAGTTGACCTTGTGATTGCCTCTTCCACTTTAATTTCTAAGGCCACGTACCCCTGGCAGAGTGCGACGTGGCGGGGGTGCTAGTGACGTGCGCCTTGCGGGGCCGGGAGAGCCTGCCGTCGTGGTGCGCCGCGGTGGTGGTGCGCCTCCTGCTGGTGCGCGCCCGACGCTGTACCACCCTCACCCTTCCCCCAGCCCTCGCCTGGATACTCCATGACCCTGCTGGACAAAAGTACTCCTCTTGTATTTATTCAGATGATTGTAATCGTATAATGTATGTAACTTAATCTTAGATTGATGATCTGTAATGTTGTGTTGCAAATATCATGGTATCTGTGGCTGTACCGTACCTCGAATCTTCGTGACCACGACTCTTTAGCTTCCCCCTTCGCGCTACGCGCTGCGGTCTCACCCCATATGTTCTCTAGGAAATGAAGTTCGAGATTTTTCAACATTGATACATTCTTCATAACATGATTAAATGTTTTCAGGAAATGAACCTTTGCAACAAACAATTCTTGTTTAAAGGAGGACTTGAAGAACTGTGTTGTTATTGCAGGTTCTTGGTGAGCCGCAAGTGGTGGTACGACAAGCAGCGCGGCTCCCTCTTCTCCCTCCTGCAGGAGAAGTGCGATCCTCTTCTGTACCTGCACTCCTTGTACAGGTACTGTGCCCCTTCTGTACCAGTAAGACTCAAGTGCTTGCTGTAAACCTAAGATACCCTATATCTATGCCAAATATACAGCACATGTAGGCTGAATATACATCGCAATTACTCCTAAAATACCGCACGTTTAGACCATGAATAAAAGTTTCCTTGTTATAAAACCCTGGTACCAACCTTTCAGGGAGCACCTGCTGGAGCGCAGCGTGTGGACCCTCATGAGCCCAGGTACGCGCGTGAGCGAGGACGGCTGCAGCGACGCCGCCCCTTTGGTGGACGATGCCGCCCCTGGGGGCGTGGGAGGCAAGGGCGCCGTCACCAGGACGAGTGACGTGCTCCACTACACCGCCCTTGTGCTGGACGCCTCGCCTCCCCTCAAGGATCCGGTAATTTTCCTCATTTAAATGTGATGAGGATGCCTTTGCTGGTCAAGTCCCTCTATTAAGTGAGAGATAATAATTTGATCAGATCAAATGAGAATGAAGATAACCATAGTAATAAGAGATAGTGATGATTTGCCTATAAGATAACAGCGCTGTACAGTTGTCGTCGTGGTGGGCGGGGCTGCTGAGGGTTGGTTGCTGCTGGCTGCTGGGGGAGGACGCGGCGGCTGAAGAGACCTTCGCTGTGGTGAACGCAGCGCTGCCCGCCACCCACCACCCCCTGCCCATCGCCGTCCTGCTCGCGTGCAGGTAGACAACTACACTCATTTATATGCCAACTACTCGAAAAATTTATCAATATTGATTCATGCTTCAATTTTATGATGAATTATAGGAGCATAAATTCAATAGCCCACATTTTGAGTTACCGATTCAATAAATTAATCAATATAATTCGACAATATTCAAACGAACCTTTGTATAGAATGTATACAGATATAATGTATACGAACATGAGTTCATGAAGAGGAGCCTTTGCATATATAATGTATGATAAAAACATGAAGATGAGTGAAGCGTCGCACCGTTGAGCGAGGGCCCGTGGCGGGCATTTGATCTTGATACGTCAACGCTACTGCATAATTAGTATGTTAATTAGTGGCAATTGCTAGGGATATTTCAGCTTGGTTCATATATCTACTTCACTTCAGTCGCCGGACTTGTGCGCCTGGCGAAGGCGGGGAATGGATCAGGCTGCTAGCCTGGAAAACAAAAGAGACCAAATATCACGAACGTAACTGAAAATCGTACTTCAGTTGCAAAATAGATGGCTATCTGAAGCGTAGCAAACCTTTCTGCAACTACTAATACTACCGGCCTGCAATAGAAACTTCCTATTCTATCAACAAAGCCGAGCCACAATTTTTAACAAGATCGCAACAGTTACGTAGTTATTATGTGGTTAACGAGCCCTTAACATTGACGGTACTCTCATCACGCAGGGCGCGGCGGGAGTGCAAGCTGACGAGTGAAGCCATCTCTGCTGACGGCGACTTCTGCAGGGCTGACGAGCGTGCGGCTGACGTGCTGACGCCTCAGGAAGGTGGGTGTGCAGCACGCTCAGAATTAACTTAACCTTGGAGAAATGTTTGCATGTCTCATTGTTACGTTACGTTCAAGATTAAACTAGAACAGATCGCCGCATATTATTTTACAGCAGCTGCTGTATGTGAGACGGTATTGACTATTGCAAGAGAAAGTACCTATGTATACGGATAATGTGAGTTCGTCTAGAGGTCTTATAAGTTCATTACAGACCAATTTACTTATTACTAATATGGCGATGGCATCGATAAAAAAATATTTATTACGAGTACGGTATATAGCAAATAATGTTTCGCGTTATTTCCTGTAGGAATTTAGTCCCGCAACTAATCCGTAACCTTTTATTGTAATTACTTGACATGCAATAAAATGTTGCAATACCTGTTTCATAATATCTAAAGAAATCAGGTCCAATGTGTTTATGTTGATATGTTGATGTTGATAGGTTGATAAAGTTGGCGTTGATATGTTGATAAAGTTGGCGTTGATATGCTGATGAAGTTTGCGTTGATATGTTGATAAAGTTTGTGTTTTGCAGTGCTGGACGCATGCGACCGCGCGGGGCGGGCGCTAGGGCAGTCGGTGACCCTGACCTCCTGCTGCTCCCCCCCACATCCCCCCCACATCATGCAGGTGCCCACACTAATTAATTATTATATTCTTACTTATATCATTCTGTACCAATTGAAGTATAACATTAGGATTTAGTTAAAGGATTGCCCTTATGTTCAGCAGTGGAACATCGATTGCGCAATGAGCTATTCTCTGATCACATGGGAGCGCCTCCCTCCCCCCCTCCTCTCGTGGTGATGCTGATTCATGAGGAAAAGATGAGCTATATGGGAGCGTTGGCCGTCACAGCGATGCATTGTAGTTGCATTGCAGTGCAAACACTGCACTGCAGTGTGACTGCCGTGCTGCGTTGTGGGGGCACCAGTCTATACTGTCTGTGCATCATTTCTGTGATACTTCATATATGCACTGCACCGTCTCTGCACTGCACCACCCCTGCACTGCACCACCTCTGCACTGCACCACCCCTGCACTGCACCACCCCTGCACTGCACCACCCCTGCACTGCACCACCCCTGCACTGCACCACCTTATGACGAGTTTAGGTTTTCTTAGTCCCCGGTCACGATGATGCGCCGCCTTCGTCTCCGAGTTGTCGCTAGGCAGGTCACCCCGCCCTCGGGTCCTGGATGTAACGGATCAACCAATTGTCCAGTCGTCTCTTGAATGTTGCAAAAGTGAAGTCCCTCCTCTATTTGGTGAGACCTACTCTATTTTGGAGGTCTCACTCTCGAAGTTATGAGCCAGTCCGGTCATCATCTTCCGTGTACAGTATGATGTACCTTCCTCTTCTCTTCTCCAGTGAGTACAGTCCCAAGTGTTTCAGCCTCTCCCAGTAGTTCAGGTCTAGTTCGCTCATACCCTTGATCTTGGACATGAAAGTCCGCTGTACTGCCGCCAGTTTCCGCATCGCACTCGCCTTGAGCGGCGCCCAAAGCTGACAGCAGTATTCAAGATTGGGGAGCACTAGAGCTCTGAAGAGTGTAATCATTGGTGCTGCTTCTCTCGTTTGAAATGTCTGCCAGATCCAACCCATCCGTTGTTTGCCTCGCACAACTATTTCCTAGATATGGGCGTCAGTACTCATCAACAATCCGAGATCTCGAACTAGTTGCTTCTCAATTTCTGTGCCATCTGATGCCCAGTAGCGATGTGGCATCCCGGTCTCTGTGTCGACTCATAACTTTGAGCTTGGTGCCGTTGAACTGCACCACCCACAGTGTGTGCAGGTGATGGCGTGCGAGTGACTGCTGTGTTTACACTCACACCCCTCACATTGTGTGCAGGTGGTGGCGTGTGAATGGCTGCTGTGTGTACACTCACGCCCCTCACAGTGTGTGCAGGTAGTTGCGTGTGAGTGGCTGCTGGAGGGGCGGCGCGCCCTCTGGTCTGCGGGCGAGCAGGTCGCCGCTGCAGGAGGAGATGGCTGGAGAGGCGCGACGCTGCAGCAGCTCAGGCGGGGCTTCCAGGCAGACCTCGCCACTCTCAGGAGCCTCATCTCGCACGTCCCCGTGAGTCTCGAGTTCGGCGACGCATCCACGTGCATACAAATTATAGAATCCTAACCCCAGAATGAGTGCTAAAGCCTCGCTACCTAATCTTTCTTATCACTCCCTTCACTCGCTGCCAAAACCTTCATTCCCCTCGTGACGTGCTGCCTAACCGTTCATCTCGCCTATCAGTGCGCGCTGGCAACGCTCTCTCCTCCTAGGACGTGCTGCATAGCCACTCATCCTCCCTTCCCCCAGGGCATGCTGCCTAACCTCTACTCTACCCAGCACGTTGTTTCAAACTCTCTCTCTCGCATATGTTTCCCAACCCCACTCACCTTACCAGAGCATGCTGCCTAACCTCTACTCTACCAACACGTCGGTTCAAACCCTCTACCTCTCTCATATGTTTCCTAACCCCACTCTCCTCCTCCCCCCAGGGCATGCTGCCTAACCTTCGTTCACCCCAGCACGTGTTTCCTAACCCCACTCCCCCTCCATCAGGGTGTGCTGCAGCGCGTGTTCGTGCACGAGGCGGTGCAGCGCATCATGTCGGGGGCGTCCCCAGCTCGGACGCAGCAGCTCCTCGACCGCAGCCTCAAGTCTTACAACACCGCCTCCTCCGTGCTCTGTAGGAAAGGTGGGTGTCGTGGGGTGCTCTGTAGGAAAGGTGGGTGTCGTGGGGTGCTCTGTAGGAAAGGCGGGTGTCGTGTGGTGCTCTGTAGGAAAGGTGGGTGTCGTGTGGTGCTCTGTAGGAAAGGTGGGTGTCGTGGGGTGCTCTGTAGGAAAGGCGTGTGTCGTGTGGTGCTCTGTAGGAAAGGTGGGTGTCATGTGGTGCTCTGTAGGAAAGGTGAGTGTCGTGGGGTGCTCTGTAGGAAAGGTGAGTGTCGTGGGGTGCTCTGTAGGAAAGGTGGGTGTCGTGTGGTGCAGTGGGTTACGCGGTATTTCGAACAATTCTCCGCTTTTTACTTGAAGAACAACACGCCGCAATATACAAACGAGAATCCTTGTTACATGGACATTCCGTACACCATACGGTACGGAATTTATGCCGTTTATCCTATATGTACTTTCTAGTAGGTACGTGTTTTAGATGGTTGTTTTGGTTGATACTTCCATCCTTCCAAAAAAGGTAGTAGGATATTTTCTCGCGTGACTTCAGTGCATTACCGTGTGCTGCTGATTACTTACGGAACTGTTTTGTTTTTTTCTTGCACTTCGATGTATCTTAGTCTTTTGTATACAAGTGCGTGTACCGGCACCAATGATGTACCTATACAAATACGTGCACGGCAACAATAATGCTCGTCCCTAAAAGACGTCAGTTGACAAATGGTTTACACAAATGATAGAGGATATCGTTGATAAAGTAACGCGTCTTGTCTAGACTTGAGTTAGGTTCGTTTCCCTTGGATTCATATGACACAGATCTTGATTTTATTTTAGATCTTGCAGCCAACAACCTGTTTGTCATGCTACAAAGATAGGGTTTCTGAGGTGCTAAGCTGTGTTTTCAATCCCAGAGCGTAGAGGTGGCGGAAGAGGAGAGCTATACAGCGGGGAGAGGGAGCACGCGACAGCCCTCATGCTTGCCTCCCAGTACCTCCCCAACCAGCTCCTGTCATCCCCAGGTACTATCATCATATCAAAGGATGACTGTCCTTTGTGATACATAATTAGCCCTGAACTGATTTCACTATTATGTTGGTAGTGTGGGCGCTGAGTTAATAGGCTTATGGCCTGTTGTCTATTTTTAGTATTTTAATACTTTTCATGACTTGTTCACAAGAGACCTAGATACTTGGGAGCCATCATTGTTTATAGTTCGCTTTCTCGTAGATTTCTCGTTTTATGTTTGCAAACTTGTATGAATTTGCGAGTGAGCTGAACAACGCTCTGACTGGACCGCTGACGTGCAGGGGAGATACGTAGATCATCTCTATTGAGCCATCGACCTCGTGACCAACTGAACTGTAAATTTTATATATCTACATTATTGATTTACACGGCTTAGTTCAGAACTTTGATAGCGCATAGCAAAACTTGACACCAAACATTGCCTCTGCATACAGAGCAGCAGGCATGCACATCTCAATCATTATTCGTCGTCGGTAAAATTGATCTCTTCTTTTCGTTTTATCGCTTCACTTACTAACCTCACTTCGTCGCTGATTGCCCAGCCTAACGTGACGTATACCACGACTTCATTACTAATTACCATGCTACAATTTTGGCCTCATGAAATACCTCCTCACGATGCAGGGGAACGCGCCGGAATGCTGTCGGAGGCGGCGGCGGCACTAAGCAAGATTGATGACAAGAAGGATCTCCACCGCTGCTACTCCCTCATCAGGGCGCTGTCGGGACCCAGTCCCGCTGTGTGCTGCNCCGCGATATGCCTGCCTCTCAGTTAGCGTGGGCCAAAACCTGCATGTTGATTGATATTTAAAAATTTTGTGAAGCAGACTGTAGTCAAGGCGAAGGCGTAAACAAGAACTAAGATCATTAATAATTTTGTTTGTTCTTGTTCAACCTTCTAAAGTCTATCTTTCACAGGGGGCGAGGTGGAAGCTCGTAAATCAGTGCAAACATTGTTGTTCACAGAATCCCTTAATTTCATAGTTTCAGTAGCTTGACTTACTCAATTATGAGCGTCGCTAAGTCACGTGCGTAATTCATCATCTCCGACGAATTTTTATTTATTTATTTAACCCTTCATCTCGCTTGAGCTCGCCTTCAGATCCGTCGTTCTCTAGAAATGTTCATTGTATATTCCAATTTCATTGCCCTTGTGAAGAAAAAACTGTTCATTGCTGCCATTACCGGCGTAGAATTTGTACTTCTTATGTATATTTGACTAGATGTCTTCGATTATTTAAGTCGTTGCCTTTTTCAGTAGTCGGCATTTACACGCAAGTCTGTTATGTTGTTAACAATATTTTGGCTAGTAACCAAGTTGAAATATAAGTAACAAATAGAGGGACTTGCTTTATCTACTCGTTCCTCCCTATATCTTATTGAACCTTGTTTCTTTACCTCTTAAATTTACGAGAGAGTGATGAGAGACAAGACGAATGAAAAGAATTTCTCCAACACGAAGATCATGTCCTAATGCTGCGAGAAAGGAGGAGGGCTATTGAAACCAAGCTTCATTAATTAAATGAAATTAGCGGGAGCAGTGAAATTCTATTAAAACATTCAGAGTTAAGCAGTGCAGATACAATTGAGCTCTTCCAAGCCGTATTTAACATAAGTTTTCATAGTCATGCGCATCATCCGACTTCCATCGAACAAATTTACATTATTCTTTAGGAATGGAATTCAATAACTTAACGCTTTTATATAAATAAAACTAATGTTCACCTATGTACTTCCTTTATAAAAATGCCAATGACAAAATTCACATCAAACTTACTGGCGATTATATTTTTAACTATCCAGGATTAATTTCAGAACAAAACACTTGTGTCGCAATAAGTGTTATGTCACGCTCTTGTCACAATAGAGCAATTCTAGACGATCGCGCAAGTAAGAAGGTAAAGGCGAAATTTCCAGCAAGGAGGGTGTCGTCGAGCATCGAAAATTGGCTCAACATGATACCGGCTGCTGGAGCAGCCATGTGCTGGACTATTTAATCATCAGCCATTACACTAATTGAATGGATTACAGTTGACGAAATATGCTTAAACTTTACTGTAAGTGACGACTATGCATGAAATGTCGCACATCATTCGTGCCCTCCTCGCAGGCTCACACATTCGTCCCCCGTACGCACTTCTGCGTCACTATGCCTACCGTGTACACACCACATTCCATGTGCACTATTGCCCTTGTACGCACCACATACTATGTGCAATTTGCGTCACTATGCCTACCGTGTACGTACTACATACCATGTGCACTATTGCGAAAATATCAAGTCTCATGTCCATGCCCACTAAGCGCACTTTCTACGTAGTGTACGAAAGTATAGAAATTGTAACAATCCTCACCGAACTCACATGAACTTGCCTCAGAACCTAAATGATATTAATTAAAGTTGAGCCCAACAGTTTACTCGCGTCATAAGGAAGACTAAATTTGCTTAACTCATAGAAGACGAACTTACGGTGCGAATAGAGGACTACGGTAGCATCTTCAGGGAGCGGGGTGACCGCACTTTATGGTGTGTAGCCGGGATACACCAGGGGTGTGTTATCAACTTATCACCGAACCCATACGCGTATTATTCCAATAAACGATACAAGGGAAATGCACCCATAGATTCCTCATTCAAAATACCACCGAATAGAGATCATCAGAATGCCGGGCATTGTTAATGCCCATTAGAAAATGTGCAAGATAAATTAATAATGTGCAAGACTAAGATACTAGGAAAATAAATTGAAGTAAATTTAAGACAATCGGCCTAGTTTCATGAAGTGACAGCAAAGGTTTTAATCGAGAAGCTGGTTGCGACCACTGAGTATTTAAGTGCATTACTCACCATTAACAGCGAAAGTAATTAATGCAAATCTGTCATCATCCTCATTAAGATCGTTTCTCAATAAAAAATGCCACTAATTCCTTCAGCGATGAGAACTGAAGGACGAGGCTTACCGGAGTTCACAGCAGGTTTCATCTAACAAGACAAGTTTACTTCTGTTGATAAGTGATGCAGCGCCTAGGTCTGCTACTACCCAAACGCTAACCAAGCTTACTAAGCTTGTGTACGTTCAAAAGCAGGCAGCTAAAACCTCTTTAATTCACCAGTATCCTACTTGAATTGCATCAACTCAGCCATGATGAAGGACGTGATAGCGGCCACGTCTCTATTTGTTCTGTAACATCGCTTCCCTCATTCAAGTTCGGTATAAAATGCTCTTCTCGCTGTCATTCATAAGAAAATAGTACATTAAGTACTAAAGTACAAAATAAAGCATCGTTAGACAACAGTACAGCCACTTCCCTAGCGGCTATCCACACAGCCTAGTTACTTGCTCCGCACCTCTCGCCACTAGTCACTAGCTACTCCTCACACAAAAATCACAAACGCTTTACTAGTCACTAGCATAGCTCTGAAGGTCGTCACTAGTCACTAGCCATCCCTCCACCTCGTCACTAGTCCTTAGACCAGCCCTGCAAGTCTTTACTAGTCAACCCTCAACGCTGTAACTAGTCACTAGCCATCCCTCCACCTCGTCACTAGTCCTTAGACCAGCCCTACAAGTCTTTACTAGTCAACCCTCAACGCTGTCACTAGTCACTAGCCATCCCTCCACCTCGTCACTAGTCCTTAGACCAGCCCTGCAAGTCTTTACTAGTCAACCCTCAACGCTGTAACTAGTCACTAGCCATCCCTCCACCTCGTCACTAGNTGTATTCATCAAGTGATGGGTGATCATACTCGTGTATTCATCAAGTGATGGGTGATGGTACTCGTGTATTCATCAAGTGATGGGTGATGGTACTCAGGTATTCATCAAGTGATGGGTGATGGTACTCGTGTATTCATCAAGTGATGGGTGATGGTACTCATGTATTCATCAAGTGATCATATGAACGCAAAGCACGGCATGTGAGCTGGAAAAATAAGGAGCATTAATTAATTTACAATGGTTTGAAATTTTTGAATCAAAGCATATAGGTTCTCACCAGTTCCACAGGTTCTCACCAGTTCCACAGGTTCCCACCAGTTCCACAGGTTCTCACAGTTTCATAGGTTCTTACCAGCCCTATGAGAGCTCCCACAAGGATGGTGCAGACAGCAAAGATGAGGTAAGAACCCCACTCAGGCAGGCCATAGTCCTTGACCAGCGTGGAGTGTACGCTCCTCAGAACCATTGACAACTGTCAACAAATAAATCAAATATAGATCAAGTCTAAAGTGAAAACATACTAATCACTGCACGATTCAGTTGGAAGTACAAAAAAGTGATGTTGACATTATAAACAAAATATGCTACACTGAACAAGGAATGTAAGTATATCTAATCTGTTGTCCACAAAGCTGTCACCTAAATAAATCATGAACTACAGAATCAGCTTCATGTTATAATTGGAATTATTGCGATAATAAAGGCTTGATGGTGAGGCTTAGTGTTAAATATATAATATCTTTGATCGAGTCTTCCTATACATCATGGAATCCCAGTTGTAGATGGATAGATTTCAAGTTTATTTCTGATCTGTAGTAATTAAAATCGTTTATAATACTTTGCTAGGTATGCATACATGTATCTATATGAATTATTATTATATGAATGTCAAATTCATCATCTCTAACAATTAAAGAATGATTGATTATTAATATAAATTACACAGGAGTTTTAAAAAGCAGCCACTTTATCAAGATGTTTTTCTAAAATAAAAATGAATTGATGTTATTCAAGATCTATCTCACTTTGAAGAACTGTGACACAACGCCCATCTGGTATGACCCAGGGCTCTTCCAGGTGGGAATTTCCTCAGCCTCGACCCACTTCTTGTCCTCCACGAAGCTGAGGAGCTGATCCTTGTCCCGAGGCCCTCGGTACAGCCTGAACACTCCGTCCTTCACACTGCAAATAACATAATCTAATAACCTCTGTTGCCTCCATCCTTAATGTTAAAAATAACAAGAACTAATAAAACTCCAACCTTCATATTATAAATAACAAGAACCAAAAACACTTCAACCCTTATAGGTATTATAAATAATAAGAACCCATAACACTTCAACCCTTATATTATAAATAACAAGAACCAATAACACTTCACCCCTCATATTATAAATAACAAGAACCCATAACACTCCAACCCTTATATTATAAATAACAAGAACCAATAACACTTATAATCAATGCCAGTGACCCAGTGTATTATATAAATTGAAACACAAAGATAAGGACTCTTTGGCCAACAGTCCAACTCCAACAGGCCATTTTAAGGCCAACACCATCTTCATTCTTCTATCAACTGCAATGCTCTCTTAAATGACTCCTCGGAATATATCCTATATATGGTACAGAATCAATTTAGGCCTACGGCTACGCCTACCTATGTTTATTGATGGGCATATTGTCTGAAAAAAGAAGAAAAATCTGTTAATCTAAACATTTATTGGCTGGCCAAAGTCACCTCTTCAGTCTTCATCTGCATGAGTGAAGGCAGCGAGTCCACATTTTGGAAAATTCTACCTGATATTTTATAGGTATTGTAAATTTTTGGGGGGTTCCATTAAAAATTTCCGATGCCAACTGCCAAAAACGGATTTCAGATTCTTAATCTACACCCCAAAAAACATATACCTAATTAGAAAAACCTTTTTTTGGATGCACTTAATGAGTTAGCTAATCAGACGATCTAAAGTAATACCAAATTTGTAATCAGTAATGACATCAGTGATCAGAGTATCAGACTCTCTGACTCCAGTCTCCAGACTGGCAGTGGCAGAAGGAGCTTCTGAGCTAGTCTGCAGGCTGTCTGCTAGATTGAGCACTGACGCCACTGAGCAGTTGACTGAGTTGAGCAGTGCAGTACCATCTCATCTGTTAAAAAATTCTGTTTAGACCACTAAGACCAGTGCAATGGTGACTCATTGAGAGAAGAATAAGAAATATTTTCATAAATAAACTACCATTCTATAAGTTAGAGGCAAGAATAAAGCTCATCAATCCTTCATATTATCATATACTTGTCTGCCGAGTGCCGACATACCTATCTAAAACAATGCGATCGTCTGGGTAATATTAATAAGAATTTCACAACTTACTCCCACCGTCCCACGCTTAAACGCCCGGAACTGACAAGTAAGAACTGCTTGATCTTGATCTTCTACTAGTTGACGGCGTGTTCCACCAGAGACGATTCTCGCCGTAATCTGCTTATTTATTAAGTCTCAGTTCTGGAATCGACGAGTTTTGCCGATGAATTCTTCAACAGCTTTGCAGATGTGCGGCCAGGCAGGGCAGTTGGAGGTGTCTCCTCCCAGCAGTGAAGCAGTGCAGAGTGTATGAACTCCATGCGAGTTTACTTGGCGACGCAGTTGCGCACGGTCTTCTTCAAACTCCATGCAAGAGATGAGATAATGATGCGAGGTTTCTGGGGTGTTGCATGAGGGGCACAGCGGAGAGGGGGCTTGGCGGATTTGGTAGAGGGCCTTGTTCAGCGGAGCTGTGCCAAGGCGGAGTCTTGCAAAGAGGGTCTCATTTCGACGAGTCTGTAGCTTGCGGAAAGACCATGGTCGCACTGATGGTTTGATTGTTCCCAGGGCAAATTGGCCACGAATTGATGTCCACTTAGCTTGCCAAAAGTTCCAGGCTCCCTTCTGTACTATAGACTTGAGTTCAGAGAATTCGAATGGTATGTCTGCCAGTGGGTCGTCAGACGTTGCTGCCTGCTTAGCGATTCTGTCTGCCGCCTCATTGCCCTGTATGCCCGAGTGACTTGGTATCCACTGGAAATGCACTTCTCCCCTTGGAAGTTGAAGGAGATTATGGTGAATAGTGGCAATAAGATGTGAATAGCTCCTGGGGAATGGTTGCATTAGGAGCTGTAGTGAAGATAGACTGTCCGTGCAAATCAGTGCTGGGTGAATGCGGTTGTCCAATAGGTATTTCACAGCTTGTAGGATNCACCAGTATCCTACTTGAATTGCATCAACTCAGCCATGATGAATGACGTGATAGCGGCCACGTCTCTATTTGTTCTGTAACATCGCTTCCCTCATTCAAGTTCGGTATAAAATGCTCTTCTCGCTGTCATTCATAAGAAAATAGTACATTAAGTACTAAAGTACAAAATAAAGCATCGTAAGACAACAGCACAGCCACTTCCCTAGCGGCTATCCACACAGCCTAGTTACTTGCTCCGCACCTCTCGCCACTAGCTACTCCTCACACAAAAATCACAAACGCTTTACTAGTCACTAGCATAGCTCTGAAGGTCGTCACTAGTCACTAGCCATCCCTCCACCTCGTCACTAGTCCTTAGACCAGCCCTCCAAGTCTTTACTGGTCTACCCTCAACGCCGTCCCTAGCCACTAGTCAGCTCTTCGGTGTCTTCGCTTGCGAACTTCGCCGCCATCGTCGGCGGATGCCGCGCCGTCCTCGGGCTGACTGCCTGCATCTGTAGAGGGCAATAGATTATAGGTAGAACGGCATCAGCAAATTTCTTTTTTTATTGCCCTGCTTGAGCCGCAAGTTCACCATGAATCTAAAAGCATTTAAAAAAACGAAAAATGATGTGCATGACACATCATATCTGCAACTAAGAAATTTTAAAGACAAAACTTTTCAATATGAACTGTGGAGCATTTCTGCAAGGCGTTTGCGAAATGTTTCTTTTTTTGTCGAATTACATACGGAATTACGACTGTTTCACTATTTCGTCAGCCTAAGCTTGGCACATCATATTCCAGCGCGGGGCAGGCGCTCTCACCTTCTTCTTGACTGGACGCTTGGGCACTGGCGTCTTGTTCCTCGTCAGTAGGAGTCTCCTTGTCCTCAGTGTGGTCTTCCTTGCGGTCCTCAATGAGGTCCTCCTCCTGCGAATGAGACATCATCAAACAACGATATGCTTTATATTCTAGGGTATTAGGGAGCACATAAACATGAAGGGTACATAGAGGACCGCAATACAAATTCATTAAATGCTTTACTTAACCGGCTAATTCAAGTAATTTCTATGCCAATGTAACTAATAAAAGCTAAGTTTAGAAATAAAAACCATATGGACTCAATTGTAGAGAAATTAATGAAATAGTACCAAGCATTTACATGGGCTGGATGCAATAAGGGAAACTCCTAACATTTTGAGATCATTATTTTCAAGATGTTATAAACAATAAAAACTTGACGTATTGAAATGGTTTATTGTTTGATATTTCTGTTAATTGATATTTTATGCTTTCACCGAGTTTTTTAGAAAACTTTTCTGGTTATAACTTTATAAAAAATGGCAAGTCTTTCTGATTTTTGAAGAAGCATATTGTTGGAGCTCGTATGGCAGGTGTTATTCAAACACGAACAATTCACAAGTTGTATGAATCAATACCTCATAGAACTGAGGCTGTAAATGTAGCAAAAGGTTGACCTTCTCCATACTAGAATATATTTTGTTGATTTTTTTGAGGCGTTGTCCTTGTTTTGTCAAGGCCCTGTATACTATGCAATCGAATCATATTATTAATCACAATACAATAATAATATCATTAATTATAATATCATTAATGTCTACAATCAGGAATTACAACAAATATTCTCAGACAGTGTGTGGTGTGAACAGATGCCACCTGAAACCACACTTTCTGGATAAAAACAATAAATAATTAGTTTAAAACTTATAAATTTGTATACGCACAAAATCAAATTGGAAATAACAGCTGGAGCCGTCCATTCAGCTCGAAGCTTATTAGAACCGACCGATCTCGTCTCACAGCAACTAAAACACCGATCCGGATACAGTGAGCCGGAGTCCATTAATAAGAGCCGGCAGATCTCATGACACGAGCAGGAGAACAACAACTTAGGAGGCGCGGGTTCTAGGGCATGACACACCCGGGGGAACAGCAACTTCAGGAGGCGCGGGTTCTTGGGCATGACACACCCGTCGGAACAGCAACTTTGGAGGCGTGATTTCTTGGGCATGACACACTCGGGGGAACAGCAACTTAGGAGACGCGGGTTCTTGGGCATGACACACTCGGGGGAATAGCAGCTTGGGAGACGCGGGTTCTTGGGCATGACACACTCGGGGGAACAGCAACTTAAGAGGCGCGGGTTCTTGGGCATGACACACGCAGGCTCACCGTGTCGTCGATGTGTTGGGCCATGGCGGACGTGGCAGTCACAGGCTTCGGGGGGAACAGGAAGTCGATCACGCACACCAGCAGCTGCGGACCACAGAAGTTATGGGTGATGGTACTCATGTATTCATCAAGTGATGGGTGATGGTACTCATGTATTCATCAAGTGATGGGTGATGGTACTCATGTATTCATCAAGTGATCATATGAATGCAAAGCACGGCGTGTAAACTGGAAAATAAAGAGCATTACTGTAATTAATTTACAACAATGGGTTGTAAAATTTTGAATCAAAGCGTATGTGTTTTCACCAGTTCCACAGGTTCTCACCACTTCCACAGGTTCCCACCAGTTCCACAGGTTCTCACCAGTTCCACAGGTTCCCACCAGTTTCACAGATTCTCACCAGTTACACAGGTTCCCACCAGTTCCACAGGTTCTCACAGTTTCATAGGTTCTTACCAGCCCTATGAGAGCTCCCACAAGGATGGTGCAGACAGCAAAGATAAAGAACCAATAACACTTCACCCCTCATATTATAAATAACAAGAACCCATAACACTCCAACCCTTATATTATAAATAACAAGAACCAATAACACTTTACCCCTCATATTATAAATAACAAGAACCCATAACACTTCAACCCTTATATTATAAATAACAAGAACCAATAACACTTCAACCCTCATATAATATATAACGAGAACCGATAACACCCCAACCCTCATATTATCTATAACAAGAACCAATAACACTAAGTAAATCACCAACTTGACACACAATAATAATTCATCATTAGCACTACAATATATTTAACTCTAATGATACAAGTAACAAAACCACTAAAGTTCCAGCCATAGTGTTATAAATAACAGTCAGTTCATCACTGTAAATAACTCTGTCCATAAATCTTTGTTCATACGTGGAAACCACACAATGACACTCCATACCTTCTTTAAAATTCAACTCTATATAACCAACACATCTCCATCAACCTTTCAGAGAACATACACTCACAGAAATGTGTGAAACTTTGTTCAATAACAATGTACTTTTTGCCCTTTAGTGGGTCATGCTTATCCAGTTTAGCCTGTCATTAGTGCTATGTCTGCTCACTATTTGTGCTGTTGGTAAGACACTATTTTAGTGTCAGTATTTGGACAATTTTACCCATTCGTTATTCTGAGTGTAGGCAATTACAATTCAATGAAATTGGAACAGCACAGCTGATCAAATGGAGATCACAGGATATAATAATACAAGAAGAATAAGTCAGACAATATTATCTTCCAGAATATAGTCAATGACTCTTATTTAATACAATGTTCTTTATTATATGCAGCCATTCTCATGCTTGCATATATGAAATAACCAACTCAGTAAAATCTATCTTAATAAACTTACTGGAATATTGTGGGCAGGGCCGTGACCATGAAGCGTCCTGACAAGCCAGGTGAGTCGGTGACATCAACCTGGGCAACATTGATGCCCAAGTCTTTGCTCCAACCGGAGAACTCATTCCAGATGGGCTGCAGTGCTTTGCATGCTGGACACCATGATGCAAAGCTGAAAAAATGCACTATGAATGTGAAAAAATTCTCATTTTAAATAATAAATTATTTCAAAATCAAAATGCCTGTTTGGCTCATTTAAGCATCAAATTTAATACTTTTTTTTTTATCTCAAATCAGTTTATACAGTGGTGTTCAATGGGCTTAGGAGTAGGTATATATGAAGCATTACTGAATGAGTTAGAAATTAATCAAATTATGCTATAACAATTGATTTGCTTATTGTATGTTCATACTCACAACTCAACCATCCATTCTCCCTCCAGCATAAGATGCCAATTATCTTCATTGAGTTGAATAAGTGAATTTGATGCACCAGTCACACATGATACAGCCCATACCAATAGCAAAGATCTTAATAAGGACTTCATTATTAAAAACCTGAAAGAAAACAAGTAATTTAAAATGAATCAAGTAGCAATAAACAAGACAGGGTTGCTATTAGGAAACAAGACACTAGGCAGGGTGGCCCAGCGGTTAAAGTTCAGAGTACCAGGATTGGAGCAGAGAGGCGCGGGTTCGATCCCAGCTCTGTGCGCCAGTTTCTGGTCAGAATCGGCAAGGAGGCCGGGCGGTTAAGCACAGCAGAATTGTAACAATGAGTTGCGAGTTCCAGACCGCAAAAAGCTGTGAATGTTCTGCGATGTTAAGAATTGGCAACAGGCCTCTGGCCTACTAAACGCTGAAACTGCTATTATTATTATAAGACATTTTTCACTTCAGAAACTTGACAATTTCTTGCATAAATTCATGCTCACCAACCCAAATCCATCAGAATAGTTTGTTTATTCAAAGAATTTCTGCCATCAATGACACACAAGTTGCCACTCACAAGATACTGCACTTATCTCACTGCTTGTCTCTAAAAACAATATAATATTGGTCTGAACTATTATTTGTATGGTTCAATATTTGCATAATGATTACAGAGCAGTTTTGGTTGCACTAGAAAGAAGCGGTTAGGTTTTGTCTATAAAATAGATTGTTTGCGTTAGAAGCAGGCACAGCAAGTGCTGTAGACTTTATTGACTTAGATTTGATGGTAGCTAACCAACCTTTTCTATATTATGATTATCTACCAATCTAAACATAACTTGGTAATATGAAATTAGACCATTCTAATACTAATAGAGATATACTAAATTATATATCATAGTCAAATAAGGCATGGCAAGAAAAGACTAAAAAACATTCAAAATTTTGCTTAGAGTAAGTTTTCATGTTTTTAGTTTTGAAGTTTGTAAGTATAATTTATGTTAGATATTTTTTATGTACATTGTATTATGAAAATTGGACTATTTGTATTCCAATATTCATTTGTGAGCTCTACATTTGTTAATGGTTAATGCAAAGCATTTTTGTAGCTAGTCTACGCCTACCAGTACCATCAAATGGAGTAATAAGGGACAAGCAGGGTAAATCGGGACAGTCATCTCACATTTTGTAGAAATGTAGCATCTAATCTAATCAAAATATTGCAAAAATAAAAATAGTGGCGTCAAGTTCAACACTTTTACTATCTATGTATCATAAAGCAAGTCAAGAAATTGAACATTTACTACCTCTAAAAAATCCCCCCCCCCAAAAAAGTGTTAAAGCGAGATTTTAAAAAGGGACCATTGCTAAGGTTTGTAACAAAAAAAATATTTGTCATATAAAAAAATTCTACTCACATAAAAGTTGCACACAGGTATTGGCTTGAAAACATGATTGACGGCATTTACGTATCTCATTAAAAAAAATTGCGGCCTCTTCCGCAATACAGGGCAATAAGGGACACCCCTTAAAACTTATTTACAGTAGAACCTTGATTAGCAAATGCTGCAGTTAACAAAAAAGTCAATTAACAAAAAAAAAGTTTGATCACATTTATCTTGCTCAGAACCAATAAAACTTAAAACAACTTTCGGAACATGACACATGTTTTTATTGTAATATTACAACGCACGGCTGACGGCGCAGATTGATAAGATGACAATATAAATTCCCGCCCACCTGGCACATCTTCCTGACCATGGATGATAACTGACTAATTATTATATTGAGGTCTTTTGGAATCAAATCAAGCAGAAGAGTATAATCAGTTGCAAATACTGGAATATCAAACTAAGATCAGGTAGATCCTGAAGAACAATTTAATGTTTAATGCATACCAAAGTGGACATTTGGCAGAAGCCACACTGCCACAGGCAAATACTGAATTGGACAAAAATGCTGTGAATCTGGCCGATTTCACCCATTCCTTTTCCTAATTTCTTTAATGAAGTTTAAGAAAAATGGCCCAATGCTTCAAATTGGCTTACACATATGTATTTTTTGTTTCATTCACAGGTAATGGCCAATTACCAAGTTACCAACCAAACTGGTACAAGAACCAAAAAGACTTAATATGAAAAATATTTATAATTTGTCATGCAATTTTAACATTTGTTAATTTGATTGATATTCAATAGCTTTGAAGACTGATTTATTATCAAATTCAAAGCTATCATTTCATCAATGGCATAGGGTTTCACACTCACAGTCCAGAAATTGAGCAATGGGCAATGAGCACTGGGCAGAGGCGCAGAGCTACAGAAGGCTAGATGCTAGAAATTAGAACTAGAAGCCACTGTACAGGATTGGAATTTTCCTAACCTCCTAGGTACTTGTTTCTGAAATTTTGTGGCTCCAATGGGACAAATTTTTTATACACTTGGAATATTGCGGCCTGATCGTGCAATATTGTATACAATTAGATAGGAAGTAATACATCTGGCAGAAATCTGACAGTTCTGGAAATGGCGGGAAAGCTTTAGTTGCGGCCCTAAAGGTAGATGTTTCCCACAATTGAAGTCACACACCACTCACCACGTCACCAGCAATAGAATCAATTTTACCTGTTCTGTTCATAATTCACATTGCCCTTTGCCGGGGCCCCTTCCCTACTTTCATGAAAGAGAAAGTACCATTAACAGGGGTGACTTTGGCCTAATTTCACTAGTTTCCGCCAATCAAATTCCTACAAAATAGTAATGAGGCACTGCTGGTGATTGTAAATTTGTAAATATATTAATGAAATGTTAAATGTTTTTCTTTAAATATGTCATGTCTAACTTATGTCACTAATAGTTTCATAATTTATTTTTTAAATTAGCTGGGTGGCCAATGTCACTCCGCAATGGGAATGGGCAATGGGGTGACTTTGGCCACATGTGTTAAAACACAGTAAAAATGTGGTAAAATGATTTTGTGGCCAAAGTCAACATTAGCAGGGGCCATGGTGACATGGGCCACGTAGGGTATTTTAAAAAATAATAATCAATGCCAGTGACCCAGTGTATTATATAAATTGAAACACAAAGATAAGGACTCTTTGGCCAACACCATCTTCATTCTTCTATCAACTGCAATGCTCTCTTAAATGACTCCTCGGAATATATCCTATAGGGTAAACACGGTATATTCCGACACATTAAGGATGCATCGAGAAATGAAAAACTATAAAAAAAAAACGTATGCGTTACGTAAGTTCTGTTGCCTTCACATGACTCTCAAAACACTTCGCTACGCGTCAGCAACGATGAAACGTCACAAAATGTTGCCATATTTATTAAAAAGCCTTTAGAATGGAAACCTACCAAATCCCTATATTCCGTCACTTTGTGTGGCAATATTCGACACGTGGTGAGTCGTATTGCGTCAGCGCTTCAAATTTAACTGATACGTATTGCCGACATCCACGTGCTCGAATTCCGTTGGCTGTGTGAGCTCACTGAGCTGTATTGGGATACAACACGGCTTTGAATTAGAACACTAACGAATATTGAACACTACTTAATTACATTTTAATTAACAGCTATTAGGCTTTTAATTAAGCAAATTTCAATTTTTGTACAAAGCTTTGAACGATCTGTGTGTGTCCAATTCAAGTTGTGTCGGAATTAGTTTTGATGTGTCTAAATCCAACATCTCAACTTAATCATCTATTAATTTATTTACGACTTGAAATCAGCGAATACAAGTATACTTAAAGGATTCCTAATATATTCACAGACGTATTTAAAAGTCTCAAACCATAATATTCTTCCTATAAAAACAGTTATTCACTATTTGGTAGAGCCATGTCAACTGTCAAATTTGACACATTTTTCGATGATCTCACCACGTGGCATGCATTGTCTCTCTTTGGATCTCAATATTTTCCCACTAGATGGCCAAGACCTAGTGTTTTGGACTTTTGGCAGTATTTTGACTCGCAAATGCATGACGTCAGCATTTCAACCATCAACAAACGCATGGAACTAAAACAAAGCTTAATATAAAGGAAAAGCTGGAGAGGTGACGGAATTACCTAGTACCTACGATGTCGGAATATACCGCGTTTACCCTATATGGTACAGAATCGATTTACCTATATTTATTGATGGGCATATTGTCTGAAAAAAGAAGAAAAATCTGTTAATCTAAAGTCTAAACATTTATAAGCTGGCCAAAGTCACCTCTTCATCTGCATCTGATAGTAGGCCTAGTGGCAAACCAGAGCTTTTTTTAGAATCAGTTCATTTTTAATTTCTTTATTTGCTCAAGATTTTAACCAATTTTTTAAGTATTAATGATAATGCTGGTATGGTATCCAATCACTATCCAACTATCCATGATACTTTGCTGGTCTACTAATTGTACTCAAAAATGAACTTGAGGTTGACTGGTAGAGGGAGAGTCTAAAAAACTCTCTGCTTTGTCACTATGCAGTGAAGGCAGCGAGTCCACATTTTGGAAAATTCTACCTGACATTTTATATTGTAAATTTTTGGCGGGTTCCATTAAAAATTTCTGATGCCAACTGCCAAAAACGGATTTCAGATTCCTAATCTACACCCCAAAAAACATATAATTAAAAAAAACTTTTTTTTTTATGCACTTAATGAGTTAATCAGACAATCTAAAGTAATACCAAATTTGTAATGACATCAGTGATCAAAGTATCAGACTCTCTGACTCCAGACTGGCAGAAGGAGCTTCTGAAGTTCTGAGCTAGTCTGCAGACTGTCTGCTAGATTGAGCACTGAGCAGTTGACTGAGTTGAGCAGTGCAGTACCATCTCATCTGTTAAAAAATTCTGTTTAGACCACTAAGACCAGTGCAATGGTGACTCATTGAGAGAAGAATAAGAAATATTTTCATAAATAAACTACCATTCTATAAGTTAGAGGCAAGAATAAAGCTCATCAATCCTTCATATTATCATATACTTGTCTGCCGAGTGCCGACATACCTATCTAAAACAATGCGATCGTCTGGGTAATATTAATAAGAATTTCACAACTTACTCCCACACTTAAACGCCCGGAACTGACAAGTAAAGAACTGCGAAGTGACAAACTGACAACGAAGTGCAACAACCCCTAGTCCCCTACACACGCTGTTGAGGGACGATTTGAAGCGCGTCGCAAGGAGAGGCTGTCAGATGAGCCTTAAAAATTATCAAGAACAGGATGCTCTTATGTTTAGATTAATAATTTTATTTGTTTGTATATGAAAGAAAATTCAAATATTTCAGCCGTTACTTTGAGTTTCAAAATGGCAAAATAAATCCAAACTCAATGAATGGTAGACAACACGTATTAGTTCTGTGGCAGACGCAACGTTAAATGAAAAAAAAAATTATCAGATTTTGTAGCATACAATTTACTATTAGCTGACAGAGTGTGACTTCAAAATGCCTGTGTGAGAAGTTCATTTTTCAACCAACCTGGCTTCGAACAGGCTCAGCTGAGTCAGCTCCCTCCTAACCGATTCGACACTTTCCCTCCTATGAGTTTCTTTACAAATTACCTAGGCCGAAATTTACTCCCTTCGTAAATGAGATGGCGATATGAATTTTCCCATGCTTACCCAGCTAATTATTTACAAACGGTGTACAGTAACAATAAATATTCTAACTTTGTATTAAAAGAGTTATGATGTGAGTTAATTTCAAGAAACTTTGAATGTTAATGTTCATCACCGCTGGCCATTTCTCGGCCACCTGGAAGCCGCCCGTTACCGCAAAAAAGGCTGGCTAAGATATCATATTACAATGACTACAAGCTCGAGGGTAGCGACTAGCCGAGCTAAGGGCAGATTGAGGATTTCGCACGATGGTGCGAATACCTCGCTCTATGACTTCGCAGCACTCAGACTACGAGCCTTATATGCTGGTAGTCTGAGTGCGGCGAGATGTTTGAAGACGTTCGCGTTTGAAGTCAGAGTGAGGATTTATTCAAACGTGGATGCTTCTTCTTTGGTGACTAAAACGTAGATCTGGATAGCCTGTAAATTAATGCAGTTAGTGTATAGCAACGCTGGTGCAGTGTCATTATTGCAGGTGTTTGAATAAAATTTGTGGGAAACGCCAATCAAATTAAAACTAAATATCCCCGAAATTTTCGTCCGTTTATGTTCATAAGTTAGTGTCGATCATTTAAGGCGATGTAATACTCAGCCGCGAACCCCCATCCTTTCTTTAAAAAATTAGATCTGATAGGCGTTCTAAAGACAACGTAAACTCAGAGAAATTTATGAAAGTTTGTCCATATAACGAAGCACTTTTGGATATCGTGTGTGTCATTCTGACTCATTTTCAGCCGGCAAAAGAGCGTATCAATCTTTTTTTGCCGATGCAGTCTGTGAGAAAATGTGTCAGAATTTGATGGCTCTTGCATTTTTCTGGATGACATCAGCAAACGTACAGCGACCGTGTACTTGCTGCCTCGGGAACCAATATTCTTCCTACGAGCTCGAAATTAACACGTTGACTACGAAGTGGTACATATGCGTACCACGAAATGTATTTCTCCAGGACGTAGTGGTACATAATTCAAATTGCCTTAAATCGGCCAAATCCGAGAACAAAAAAGGCCAAAAAAGGCCGATAACTCAATATATACTAATTTATTTGTAGGTTCCGCTATAAAAATTCCATTTATTTTCTTTTTGCAGTATTTAAAATTTAATTAGGAAGTACCTCTATCATAAATTTTAGCCGGCCAACGCAATTGAGAAAAACTAAATCACGGAATTTGTCCAGAGAAAAATGAACGTCTGGCAACCCTGTTTAAAAACAGTACAAAAAATAAAATAATAGTACAAGATGAAGCAATCGTAGTCAACGTGTCAACGTAAAAATAATGGTATGGTATAGCAGTCTTGAGGTCTTGGCATACACTCACAAGTCCGGTGAAAGGTAACGACTACGAGAGGTTAATAAGAGCGTAAAGGCAAACAGTGCTTTATTGTTGGCATCGAGGGGAGTACATAGAGTACTGATAAATCCAATACAATTACTGAAGAAGACAGCCTGGCTCACTGAGCAGTCACGCCTCAATTCAATTAGCAGCTCTTCTATTTGTTCCTGATCACTGGGACAATAATTAAAACACTGACCCATCATGACTATGAATCAAATGTAACTGATTAGCAAAACATCACATTTGTCAATAATTAAAATACATTGGCACGAGATAAGTGGGCAAAGGATAAGTGAGCCGAGAGAAATATGAAGATACGTGAGTTAAGAAGGCACGGTAAGTGGAAGACAGTGGAGGGTCATTAGGTACGAGGGGGGGGGGTTAAGTCAGATTTTTATTAAAACTCAAAAATTTTCTGAAACTCAAAAAATTCCCAAAACTAAAAAATTTCCCAAAAAGTCAAAAATTTCCCTGAACTCAAAAATTAGTCTGAGATTTTCCCTAAAACTCAGAAATTAGTCTTGACCCGCCCTATGATTATTAATAACTAATCTTAATAATTGACCCATCAACTGTCATCTATCTATTTATCACCCCCTCAGGGGGTTACATGAGCCCTGCAGGGGTTACCTGAGCCTTAGTTACCTGAGCCCTGCAGGGGTTACCTGAGCCCTAGTTACCTGAGCCCTGCAGGGGTTACCTGAGCCCTAGTTACCTGAGCCCTGCAGGGGTTACCTGAGCCCTAGTTACCTGAGCCCTAGTTACCTGAGCCCTAGTTACCTGAGCCAGGTGTTGCCTGAGGAGGGGAAGGAGGCGAGGGCGCGCGTGGGGAGGCTGTGGGGGCGGGCGAAGCGTGTCTCCTGCTCCCCGCACCCCCGCGCCTCGGGCCACGGCCGGAATGTGCTGCGATAACAGCGATAACAGCGATAACAGTCAGGGCGATTACAGTGATGACAGCGATAACAGTCAGGGGCGATAACAGTGATAACAGTCAGGGGCGATAACAGCGATAACAGTCACGGCGAAAACAGCGATAACAGTCACGGCGATAACAGCGATAACAGTTACGGTGATAACAGCGATAATAGTCAGGGCGATAACAGCGATAACAGTTACGGTGATAACAGTGATAACAGTTACGGTGATAACAGTGGTAACAGTTTCGGTGATAACAGTGACAACAGTTTCGGTGATAACATTGATAACAGTTACGGTGATAACAGCGATAACAGTTACGGTGATAATAGCGATAACAGTTTCGGTGATAACAGTGATAACAGTTACGGTGATATCAGTGATAACAGTCAGGGCGATAACAGTGATAACAGTAAGCGCGATAACAGTGATAACANGTACATTGCTGGCACTAGTGACGCAGTGACTGCCGACATATTACAAGCGGTTGATGCATATAAATAACGGCTAATTCAACAATAATAATGAACTCTATTTATTGCTAAAACGCAATCATCATGATCAAACTTAGTGATAATTAATGACAAACTAATTAACCAGAAAGTTAACCAGCTATAATTAAATGAATGAATACATTGTTCATTGTTCTTAAGAGTCAATAAATAAGTTACTATAAAATATATTTACGTTGTTGAATAAATAAAATCTTAATTTGGTTCATTAACTAAAAATAAAACAAAATCTTCAATATTAAAGCAACAAACACGATACACAACTCGGGGAAAGTTGAACGTAAACTTACACAACCTATAGACTAACAATAAAATATCTACGTATTTTTGGTGAAATAACCAACGTCGTTACGACACGCAACGCAACTTAAATTCCCCGGAAATATTCATCTTGACAATTAATTATTATTTTTAAAGCACTCCATTTACCATTAGTTACCGTATCTAGCTGTTATAGCGCTTGTCAAAAATCAAGGCCGGCGTCTAAGCCGGTCAAAAATTTTACTGGCGTTTATAAAGAGGCGTAATATTGTTATCGGACCACCACTTCAAGTTGTTATAATTTATTATATTAAATAGTTTTATATAAGCTACAGAATATCTTGGAATTTGGTATCGAGGAACAACTCTGCAGGACTTTCACGCCCAGCATTTAAATGCAGGATCAGAAAGTTTGTCGCCGAAAACACCGGCCAGCGGTCTCAAACTTCTTGATGAAGAAGGTATACGGCGATAAAGAAAACACTTGGTCGCTGACACGTCGATATAGTTTGTGGGCGGTCGACGTTGACGTTGCCATTAAGGGGAGAGTCTGGGGTAAAATTTATCTCGGCTATTCACAGACGGATCACTCTGAAACTTGGTACACATATGTAAAACAGAATTCTAAGACATTTTTGTTCGTGTGAATTTTTCGAAAAAAATGAAAGAAAACGTGAAATTATTAGAAAACGGCCAAAAAAGGGGGTACCGTAGAAATNGTCACAAGAAGTGAGACGTCGTCACAAGAAGTGAGACGTCGTCACGAGACCATCTAGCCTCGTTATCTGCCATGTACTGTCACGACCCACAGTCACCATGTGCCGTCGTTGGTAGGCGTCTATTATCGTACCGCCATATGCTGTTATCAATAACACTTCATCACCAACAGCAAATTCCAAGTTTACTCATCATGAGGGCCCAGCAGTCAGGGCACAGCAGGACCCGTCAAGTTACTCATCAGGAGGGCCCCCACGGTCAGGGCACAGCAGGACCCGTCAAGTTACTCATCAGGAGGGCCCCCACGGTCAGGGCACAGCAGGACCCGTCAAGTTACCCATCATGAGGGCCCCGCGGTCAGGGCACGGCGATGTTGGACTCAGGAGGACACCCGTCTCGGGCCACGTTACGGGCCTCGGCGTTGTCGTACCACTCGTAGTCCTGGACGGGCAGGGGGCGCTTGCCACCCGCCAGGAGAGCGGCGTCCAGCCTGGCAATGGCGGAGTACACGAGGCACTTGAGGTGCCACGGGAAGTAGTCGATGCCACTGACGGCGTGGCTGTCCCGACGGCGGAAGGCTCCATCGGGCTGCGTCAGGAGGCACTGCAGACGAGTCTCCGACACCGGGAACTTCAGGAACTCGAGGATGGCCGTGAGTTCGGCTCTGCCAGACCATAAATTATCATCATTAAAATGCAGTCGAAATCTAAGCAAGACGCCATATTAATCGTCTGGTCTTATAAGCCGTTATGACTCTAGCTGCCACTAAACGCCGAATTCTCTCTTGCCGAAATATAACCATGTCATATAAACATTGTAAGCTATAACTTATTGTCCAATCATAAAGGTGAAAGTTGCCTGCTACAGTGGCTTTAAGGAAAGAAGTAAAACTCTGTAATACCTTCAGTAACATTTATCAAATGAAAATACTGTACTTATTTCTAGCAAAATATATCTGACAAACCTGAGGTCGCGTTTGAGAGTCTCGTAGTGGGTGACGAATACGTCGGCTGCGGGACACTGCCTCACCCAGTCCGAGTAGAAGTTCTCCCAGAGCTGGATCTTGAGGGCGACGAAGTAGGCCCAGCCTGAGCAGGCGTGAGGGTGAGTACATTTAGGACATGAGGATGGGTTAACATGTGCATCGTCAAGACATGAGTATGCTTCACAGCATGAGAGTGGGGCAATATATAAACTCTGGGACATAAGCTTGAGCATGTAAACTTAGGGACATGGGGGATGTGGAGCATGTAAACTTTTGGACATGCCGGATGTCGAGTATGTAAATACATCTTCACCTGAGGGATAGTGAAGATGTAAATTTAGGGAGATCTGGAATGTTTAGCATGTAAATTTAAGGACACGACGGATGATGAGCATGTAAACAAACTTAAGGACATGAGTGCGGGTGAAAGCGTTCAATTAAGTACACACGGACTTGAAGTGGGACTTAAGTGGGAAGTTATGACACACAAAATCTGAATTATGAGCTAGAGTGGGGATCAGTTTCGTGGGGAAGGAACAAACTCCACAAACCTTTTCCCACGAATTGTGATTTTGGAGCAAAGCCTGTGTGTCCCCCAACGTCGAGGTGGCGGTGGGAGATGAGGGCCTTGAAGGGGTTACGGATCACGACGAGCCCTCCACACCCCAGCACGGTGAAGTGATTCCCCTGCAGCTGCAACAACAACAATATCAACAATTAGGGGCAGTGATTTTTAGAGGAAGAACAGATTTTTAGCATGAACAAATTCAGATTGTCATCTAATTTAAGAGTGGAGTTAAGGTTAACCTACTTGAAGTCCCATAGATACCAGCCAAGCCTGCACGAGGACTCGCGGCACTCAACACTCCCCTTAACTGACTGAAGGTAGTGATACAGATGGTACAAGGTGGTACACACGAAGAAACAGCTGGTACAAGGTAGTACACACGAAGAAACAGATGGTACAAGGTGGTACACACGAAGAAACAGCTGGTGCAAGGTGGTACACACGAAGAAACAGCTGGTACAAGGTCTGTCTCTTATACACATCTAGATGTGTATAAGAGACAGGNAGTTGCTGGATATTGTAGTGCTACGAGTAGAACAGAACTGTACTTAAGATGTACAGTGAACAATGCTGTACAGGTGGTGGGGATTACACAGGTGATACAGGAGATGGCTATTGCACAGGTGGTGTATGAGGTGGGAATTGCACAGGTGGGACAAAAGGTGGTTGTTCCGAACGAGCACTCCTGGAGTGAGCTATTGCGGGCAGGTAACGAAGTTGGGCAAAGGAAACCGTGAGATTTATTTCCTTATTTACAATTTCGTTAACTGAATGAAAGAGCTCAAGCCAGGTGTGAGATTTTGATTAGTTTGCGTTTTTAGCGCATTTTCTCATTTATGGAAAAAAAGGTGCTATTGTGCTCGCCATGTCCGTCCGTCCGTCTATCTGTCTGTCTGTCTGTCCGTCCGTGACTTCAAGTTTTCGTCGACGATAAAATGCGCTCTCTGTCACTCACTGCAATGAGTACTGAGTTATATTTTTCTGAGTTTGTAGAGTCTATTTAATGTTAGATGTTTTGGTAGTCAATATTTATTTGTGAGCTCTAAATTTCCAGTGCAGCGCGTTTTCGTAGCAAGTTTACCGCCCGTAGCTCTTATTTTTGATTCGAAATAGACTTTCACGATGACAAAATTTAATATTGAAGCGACGATAATTAATTAGATGATCAACTTTTGGGAAGCTTGAAGCTTTGAGTGAAATAAAGGAAATAATTAGTGTAAATCTGTTTTGTATCCTTGGCGACTGACTAATTATTATATCAATATTATTTTTTGAAGTAAGATCAAGCAGAAGAGTTTAACTTCTTGGAATTTCGAACGCCGGGATAGTGAACTGAGGTCGGGTAGATCCTGCATAGCAATTCAAGATTCAACACCGGGATTCTCGCTCGGAACAGTAAAATTCTTCTAATAACGGTCGATGACATGAAAAATAACGCAACTTCACGCGTACAATGCTAAGTTACTGCTAACGTGATAAAAAAATCATAGACCGCGTTCCAAAAAAACTTTCCTCAGCGCGTTTTAATTCTCTCAACGGCGGGGACAGCAACTCGGGTGTATAGAGCCCGACACAGTGTTAGTTGCACAGGTGGTATATGAGGTGGGTGTTGCACAGGTGGTATATGCGGTGGGTGTTGCACAGGTGGTATATGCGGTGGGTGTTGCACAGGTGGTATATGCAGTGGGTGTTGCACAGGTGGTGNTTTCCTATAACTGAAAAATTTCCCATAAGCCAAAAATATCCCAAACCTCAAAAATTTCCTAAAACTCAAAAATTTCCCAAAACTCAAAAATTTACCAAAACTCAAAAATTTCCTACAACTCAAAAATTTCCCAAAACTCAAAAATTTCCTAAAACTGAAAAATTTCCTATAACTGAAAAATTTCCCATAAGCCAAAAATTTCCCAAAACTCAAAAATTTCCTAAAACTCAAAAATTTCCCAAAACTCAAAAATTTACCAAAACTCAAAAATTCCCAAACCTCAAAAATTTCCTAAAACTAAAAAATTTCCTAAAACTCCAAAATTTACCAAAAGTCAAAAATTTCCCACAACTCAAAAATTTCCTATAACTCAAAAATTTCCTAAAACTGAAAAATTTCCTATAACTGAAAAATTTCCCATAAGCCAAAAATATCCCAAACCTCAAAAATTTCCTAAAACTCAAAAATTTCCCAAAACTCAAAAAGTTACCAAAACTCAAAAATTTCCTACAACTCAAAAATTTCCCTGAACTCAAAAATAAGTCTTTGAGATTTTCCCTAAATATTCAGAAATTAGTTTTGGCCTGCCCTAATAATTATTAATATATAATCTTAATAATTGATCCACTAACTGTCATCGTTCTGTTCACTACCTCTACAGGGGAGTTACCAGGGGTGTTACCTGAGCCCTGCATGGGGTTACCCGAGCCCTGCAGGGGGTTACCTGAGCCCTGCAGGGGGTTACCTGAGCCCTGCAGGGGGTTACCTGAGCCCTAGTTACCTGAGCCCTAATTACCTGAGCCCTAGTTACCTGACCCCTAGTTACCTGAGCCCTAGTTACCTGAGTCCTAGTTACCTGAGCCCTAGTTACCTGAGCCCTAGTTACCTGAGCCCTAGTTACCTGAGCCCTAGTTACCTGAGCCCTAGTTACCTGAGCCCTAGTTACC